TTATTAGTCAACCATGGGATCCTCTTCAAACCTAGAACTACAAATAGCTCAATTGGTACACAATATTACTTCCATATGACTTTAATAACAATTATTTCTAAATGTTTAACCTACTTTTAAAAAATAGAGCTTCGATCAGGCCAGGGACACACTGACAGTCTCAGCACCGTCCACTAGCATATATATTAAGCTACTGGATCGCTAAGCATCTGCCCTCCCCGGTCCTGAGCCCGAAGACAAATTATTACACAATAAACAATGAAAAATCGCATCTATTTTATATAAAACAATTGAAAGATGCTTCTATGATCAATATACCAGCATCAACAAAACATATCTATGAATAATAAAAACAGCTTGTATAACATCTGGTCGTACAACAATTTAACTTATGCAAATTAATTAAGATTAAATATATACTTATACACACATACAACACTCATATATAAATACATATGCACACACACACATACACACACACACACACACACACACACACACACACACACATACACACACACACACACTCACTTACACATACATACACACATGTACATCTTGGAACTGACTTTAAAATCATTAACTATACAAATAAATATCTAATTCTTTAAAATTGCTAAAAACATAAATAAATATCAACTAATTAAAATATATGTACATTAGTCATCTCATAAAATCAAATGTCAACATTATAAACTCATCCAACAATATTAAAACCATTTAAATTACTACTATAGTTACTATAGTTCCCATTCTATAATTGTATTTTCCCTTTTTTCAAACAAAATAAAACGAAATATCTCATCTGAATTGTGCAAATTTTAAAATGTTGCTATACGCACAATTCAATTTGGCCAAATCATTCCGAGTATTTATTGCGTTTTTGGTCCTTCCAATGTGCATCATCTCTAGAATCAACCGTTTTTGCTGATTATTTTCTGTGTCTAGTATTTTGACTTTATCTAACTCTATTTTAAGATTATTTTTAATAGCATGTATAGCTAACGCCGTATCTTCTTTTTTGGTTTCTATGCTATATTTATGTGCATAAACCCTCCTAGATAAGTACTGTGAGGTTTGTCCGATATACTTTCCATCACAATCTGAGCATTTTAACTCATAAACAACATTGGCTAATTTTTCTCGGCTGGTCCTATCTTTCAGTTGAGAGAAAAGGGATTTTTTCAGGCTATTTTTGTATTTATACGATATACTTACATTGTGGTCCCGAAAAATTCTTTTTATTTTAAATGATAGTGGTTTTATGAATTCCATGGAAAAATATTTTTTTGGATTGCTCTGCTTGTTCTGACGGCGTGACAAACAGTCATACGCTCCTCGCAGACACTTTTCAATTACGCTGTTTGGGTAACTATTGCCTTTCAATATTTCTTTTATTCTTTGTATATTTTCTTCTTGAAAAGAAACTGAACTTAGAGCAATAGCTCTATGAAATAAGTTTTTTGCCGTATTAATTTTAATACTTAAATCGTGGCATGATTTAAAATTTAAAACTCGACATCCATGATTTTTCCTTTCATGCCACGATACTCTTATCTCACTCCCAGAGCGGTACATTTTTGTATTCAAAAATGTGATGGCATTGTCTTCTTCAATTTCCATTGTAAATTTTATGTATGGATCCATATTGAAATATGTTAAAATATTATTTATATATGTAGCGGGGACACTTAATATGGTATCATCAACGTATTTTTTTATAAATTGCACCTTTATAGGAATTGTAGAAAGTATCTCCTCTACTAAATCATCCATTACATATTCCACAAGTATAGGGGAAATCGAAAGTCCCATTGGGAGACCCATTATCTGCCGATAATAATTTTTATTATAGACAAAATAAGAACCATCGAGACATAATTCTATTGCGTTAATAAATAAATTTTTTGGAATTTTCGTAACTGTTGTGATTGTTTTCCATCGTTTTATAATCGATTTTATGGCTACCTCTTTTTTTACATTTGTAAAAAGAGAAACTACATCTAATGATATCAGTTTGTTATCACTTGGTATCTTTTGATTTTCAATGTAGCAACCCAGTAGCTTAATATATATGCTAGTGGACGGTGCTGAGACAGTCGGTGTGTCCCTGGCCTGATCGAAGCTCTATTTTTTAAAAGTAGGTTAAACATTTTGAAATAATTGTTATTAAAGTCATATGGAAGTAATATTGTGTACCGACTGAGCTATTTGTAGTTCTAGCTTTGAAGAGGATCCCATGGTTGACTAATAAAAAGAAAATACCAGGATCGAAACGTCAATAAACAGAAGAAATGAACATTCATTAGTTTATTAAATAATAATTAAGTGACCTTATTCCCAATTAAATAGTGAAGTTTAAATATATATATATTGTAATGTCAACATTACATGGCATTTAAATAGTGGTGCGAAAGTGATAACAGCACGAACTACGGGTAGAAAGTGCGTGCGGATGGTGGGGGAAGCAAGCCTCATGTAACTCAGAATGTGACCGGCCGCCAAGAGAGAAGGTTATGAGCAACCAAGAGAGAATGTGACAAGCTGTCAAGAGAGAAGGTGACGAGCTGCCAAGTGAGAAGATGCTAGCCAGCAAGCTGAGAAAGTGAAAAAGGAGTTCTAGCCGGTTCGAGTGTTGATAAAGGCCACTAGTGGAGATTATTTTATGTTGGAAGAAAAAAAACATAGCAGAAAAGAATTAAGTGGTACAGAAAACGGGACATTCGTAAGTAAGAAGAGATTATTTCACTGACAGGCGTAAACATTTGGGCGAGTGCTAACAATGCCATTTATGTTGACTGAGGGATAGAACCAAAAGTTTAGACCGGGACAAATTATTTTATAAAACTATTTTAAATTATATATAAGTGTAGTTAGTAATTAGTAAATTAGTGTAGATTATAGTTATTTAATGTTGAATGAGTGTTCAGTTGTCAGAACCCAACCTGAGAATTTATGTTATGTGTTAAAATAAATAGTATATTGAAAAAGGAAACTCGTTTGATTATGGAGGGAAAGAGGAATGTTACAAAATATATATATATATATATATATATATATATTTCGGTTTTATTTATTCGGTTTATAATTTGTCCTTTCGGTTTTTCAGGGTGAAATAATACTCAATGTACTAAATACCTAAAATTTATTTTAATCTACAATATATTGACCATTATTTAATATGACTCTTTCCCATCTTTCTACTAACTGCATAATGTCATGTTCATAGAATGTCTGGAGTTAATTATTAAAAAACTGATCTAAGTGGTTTTTGATGTCTTCTTTCCATTCATGGAGTTCTGCAGAGACTGGAAAATAAGTGGTAGTCACTTGGAGCTAGGTCTGGTGAATAGGTATGGTGGGGTAAAAGGCCCCATCCAAGACACAATAATTTATTGCGAGTGACCAAGTAGGTGAGGGGCCTAGCATTGTCTTGGTGGAACACAACACCCTTGCAATCATTCATAACTCTTCAGTATGTTCTCCAAATTCGATGTTACTGTATCCATTTGAAAGCTGAATTATTGCTTTTCGAAGCCGTATGAACGGTTCTTTTATTTAATGCCTACATAAGGAATAAATAAACAAATATTTCTTATAGGTTTTTATTTTTTGTCTCCATTTGTAGTTTGTTTACGAAGGTCTTGTTGATGTCATGTTGTGTAGTTTATCTGGCCCTAAATTCCTGCTAAATTTCTTGTAGATAGCTAAAGTTGTATTGAAGTTGTAACATTTATTGTGATTTTCGAGAAAAAAAAATCATGTGAGGGACCCAAACATTAAGCCTGGAAACATAGCCGAGCTTGTGTGAACATATTTAGGGCCATAGCAATTTCTTGCACTGATTTGGTGGGATTTTGATCAACAATGTCCTTGACATTACTCGTTCCAATTTCATGTGGGCGACCAGACCGTTGACCATCATTGATGTCAAAATTTCCTGAATGAAATTTGGCAAACCAATTTTGACAGATGCATTCAGCTAAGGCATCATCCCCATAAACACTGGAAATTTTTCTATGAGCTTCTGCAGCACAATTACCTTTTTAAAATAATACAACAAAATATGCCGATAATGAAAGATATTTTCTTCCATATTCACAGTGCAATAGCAAACATAATACTAAGCTAGTTTCTAAAAGAGTTAACAGGTATAGTTGTTGACATATTACAAACAGGATAAACAATCCTCCTTAGGGATTAATTCATCAGATAAGAAGTGTATCGTACTGACATTAAAATAAACTGAGAAACCGAAGGACTTATTTCCCAACCCAATAAATAATCAACTTAAAAGATATGTAATATTTAGTATTACTAACTATGTTACCAGCACTGAAGGTGTTTGAATACTGGTATCTAGGTAAATAAGTAAGGGGGTCGAGAGGGGGGTGGGGAATTTTCCAGATACATTTTAAGATAGCAGAGATAGGAAAATAAAGTCAAGGGGTTCAGGTAACAGTATTGTTTATGGAATAGAAACCATTGAATAAACACAATATCCAAATTAACATGTATACAATAGCCAAGTTATTTCTTATAGCTAACAATTGTAACTATTGGCTTGTAATGTAATAATAATAAATAAGAGAGCAGAGTTCTATTATGAGAGGAGCTGTTAACATAGTTTTAATAGTAAATATTACATGTCTTTAAGATTGATTCTGTTTATTATTTTATAGTTTGTAAAGGTTATTATGCATTCATTTGTCTATCTCAACTCTTCATATCATTCTACATTAGTTATTATTTTCATATCATCCTTTACTATTTATCATTACTAACTATAATCTGTTGTATAATATTATATCTCTAATGTTATCAATTTTTCAGCTCTGATGACCCACCAGCTGGGTTACAAAGTTGACACTAAATTCTTAAAAAACTGACTGTTCTGACTATCTATCACATTTTATATTTTATAGTTTTTAAAGACTTTATTATTTAACTTATTTAAAGACTTTAAATAAAAAAAGTTATTTCTAATCTCTTCTATTTAGGGACCCAGCAGATAAGTTGATACGTCATCGAGCCTGCTACCTTCGTGATACTGCCTATGCCTTAATAAAAGCAGAAATGGATTCTGATTTTGAAGTGTCTTGTAGGAGCATCAGAGAAGCTCGGAAGAATAGAGAAGAAAACTCTAGCCAAAGGTTATTTAATGTTTCATTTTTAATTATAAAAACCTAATTGTATATTGCTTGGTCTGCTGAAGATTTTTTTAGTTATTACTCATTTACTGCAATGTGGAAAATTTTTACTTGTCAAATTTAATTTATGAGCTTTTAAGGTTTACCAGGGGGATGATAATGTTGTCATTGTGACAAAACTACATTTTCTCCAATCTGTTAATTGCAACAATTTATTATCTCGAGTTGTTCTGTTCTTAACTCCAGTAAATTCTCATATATGATTAATAGTGATATATTTCGTGTTGTGACCATATTGCTTCCAAGGTAATTTTTTATCTTTATTATTTATAATGTATTATATTGAGATATGACATTGTGCATTTAAAACTTTAAAACTTAATGCCTCTCCTAAAAAATCATGAATTTTGAGTTATGACATTGTTACAACAAATGAGTAAATTATGATAATTATTCATTGTACCATGATTAGATAAAAGTAAAGAATAAAACGTTTTGTTCAATTTCTACTTCATCTGAATTCATTTTTTATTATTAAAAATACATTAACAATTTTTAGAGATCAAGAAACTATAAATATTATAATTCTTGTTTAACTTCTTTTTATTTACAATAATTTAAAAAAAATATGAACAAGTTGGAGCTCTTTCTTGGTATTAAACAAGGTACCGTTGGACTAAATAAAAAATTATATTAAAAATAAGTACACACAGAAATTATGAAATAAACAAAACCATATGGTGGGGTTGTTTGTCTCTGTGACTACCAGGCTGATGAGTCATGGATTTTAGTTTTCAATTTGCTAAAGAAAACAGATCAACAATGAACCCAACCTTTGTACTTTTTGGAAAGATTTTATGCTGCATGACAATCAATAAACCATTCCAGTTTTGAAGTCATTGAGAAAACTGCCAAGTGTGAAGAATAATTCAAACAAAAGTTAATCAACATTTGAATAATAATAATACAATAAATAAAGCTTTAAAAAATTAACATAATAAAAAATATATATATAAAAACAAATGAATGAATTTATATATACATATATATTTATACAATACAATACATATTAAAATTATTTACTTAAGTCTGGGTTTCAGTCAATGGGATGATATTAATGGTATTGGAAAATAAAAACATCTGGTGCGTGCATCACACGACTTTGACTTACCATCCTCTTTGTAGAAATAAGTATTTTCAGACAAAAGGAAGTGAAAGTAAAAATTATAGACACTATATTTATTTACATTGTATTGTAGGTATTTTTATTTGTTTAATTACCCTTATACATACACATTTTAATTTTCATATTGCTGTAATGTATACAATTAAATAATACCAACAATAGCATTTATGAAAACCGCATATGTACATGTATATAATATTGTCGGAATCTGTATTATATTAAGATCATGCTACATATAGAAGCCTGTTCTAATCATTCGGGTGAGCTCGGGCGCTTATATCCCTTTGGTTCCTCCAGTACAACTATTATCTGTTACGATATCTTATTTCTCCTTAAGTTAATTATCAAATTCTTTCATATTTTATATTTATCTATTTTTAATATCAAAGATTAATGTGGAATGGTTAATTATTTTAAATTAAAAAAAATAAATAAAGGTACTTTAGAGGAAAATATTGAAAATTAGCCATTTAAGCTCTGTTACTGTTAGAGAACATCATTGAGAGTAAAACCTACATTATATTTAAAACTGCTTAATAATACACCGATATACTGAGTTAAAAATTGTTAAAGCCGTTTTTTAAACGTATACCCTTATATCTAATAATTTCGAAAAACTTACATAAGTCTAAACGCAATGGCGTAATCTTAAAATGGAGGTAGGTCATTTTCAAAATCTACTCATACGATAACTGACCCATGCATCAAAAAAATAAAAAAGGTTGGATTTCAATTGAAAAAGGTTTAATTCGAAATGGAAAAGGTTGAATTTTACTTGTAAAAAGTTTAATTTGATTGGAAAAGGTTGAATTTGAATTGGAAAAGGTTGAAATTGACTTGGAAATACTATAAATCCGAATAGGTCCAATAAATCGATATACAAAAGTTTAACATAAAATCGATAGTATTTTGAAAAACTCTACTTAGGGAAGCATAATGATAGATCCTCATATTGGAAAATGGCCTTATTTAGAAAAATAAAATAAAAAATTTACAAAAATTCGAAACTTTAATTGGAAATAGAAAACGTTAAATTTAAATTGGATAAGGTTTAATTTGAAATAGAAAAGGTTTAATTTGATTTGGAAAAAGTTTAATTTGATTTGGTAAATGTTGAATTTGACTTGGAAATGCTGTATATAAGTGATATTTGGATTTATTAAATGTCCTCTCTGGACCACCTCTTGTTAAGGGACTTCAGACTCCAACCGAGAGTCCCTAACTAAGCCAGACTGGGCCTGGCTTTTCCGATGATTGGAGAACTTCTTGTTGAGTGTACTAGCAATCTCAAATACTTTGTGTTTTTGCTATGCATCACCATATAATATCTCATTTCATAATGAAAAATCGTGGTGATCAGAAGAAAGAAAGAAAAAACAAATTATTTGAAGAAAATAAAAATAAAGTAAACGAAAGTGTCAGTTTATGTAAAGATGTATGTAATAAAAGATACAACAATGCACCTCCACTTTGCTTGGGTCTGACTGCAACTTATTTGATGTAGTGTTATCAGCTGTATATGTGTGGCTGCTTTCTATGCATATACATCTGCAACATTAGCATACTAAGACTGTTCAGGTAAATGTTTGTAAATTAGTAATTACTAGAGACCAAATCTTTGTGCAGTAAAAATCTCAAAATGTGCAAAATCGTGCAGTAAAAACCCAAAATATGTAAAATTGTCTAATTTACACCTAAAAACGAGGAAAAATCATCTATTTTGTTTAATTTATATTATTAATACATTGAAATCTTATGTTAAGCTTCTGAATTAAAATATTGAGTCACAAAAAAAAATTAAAATGCAACATTGAAAATTAAAATCCATATTGCAATCAACTAATGACAACAATACATAATCTAATAAAACAATAAATTACGGTTAACCTATATCTTGAAGAAAGAGATATTAAAAAAATAATAATAAGGACTGACAGAAATAATGGAAAATTTAAAGATAATTCACAAAACAAATACAAAAAGGTCTCAATAATTAACCGACAAATAATTAAATATATTTGTTTAAATATCCCTTGAATTGTTTAATTGACAGGCACATACAAGGAATGAAGTAATGTAGAGGAAGTTAAAAAGACTAAAGGAATGAAGGATAAGTATATATTATAGATACCAGACCAATTGATTTCAGGTATTTAATTTAAATTTAAAATATTATATGTACATACATAATTATAAAATGTTCACATATAATGAAAACTTTATTTTTTAATCGAGTTGAAATTTACAATGTTATACATTTCAAAAATTTCTCAAAAAGTTTCTCTTATCACTTAATACGCCTTTTAATTAAGAAAAAGAATATTCAACATGAACTGATGTAAAGGGAACTCGTTTTGTAACAAGCAACCACTGCTGGTATTTCGTCAACATCAACATTTATACTGTTAATGCAATCGTTATATTTGTTTAACAGAGCTTAACCTGTATTTTTTCTATTAGAGAGTAAAATCTTTGAGATATAATTTTTCTTTTTCACTATTGATTTTTTAAAGATTTTCTCCTACAGTTTCTATAATTTCAATTTGTTTATTAAGTGACAAATTTTGAGATTTCAGCTGAGTTAATGTTTGCAGAAAAGTTGACAAATGTGATTTTATGAATATCAAATCAATATTTATAATGCCAAATTCATAATAGTCTATGATTCACTTCAAAGTCGTAAGGAATACTGAAAGATTGAAGAAAGTGAGAATTCAAGTCAAAACAAGGAAGGCAGTTTTTTTATTGAATTACTTCAAGCAAGTTATATTCCACGAATAGTCTGTCTGCACTTGTGTTTACTTTTACTTTTTGTAATGTTAAATTCATTCTTCGGATCTTTGCCAATCACAGAATCATTTAGTTTCCTCTCCCTTAAGAATGAAACTTAAATTATAAATTTAATATGGACAAGATAGTATAATAAAAATGTAGATATTTAACACACATATATATATTTAATGCAACAAAAATCAAAATCGTTCAATTTAAGCCAAAAATGGCGAAATGTGCAATTTCGTGCTATATATAATTTAAATATGTTATTCTACAGATCCTGAATGAAACGGATAGATATTCGGGTCTGGGGTGTTTACACGCAAGTAAATAAAATGTGCAATAACATGGAAATCCAGTCTCTAGTAATTACTCACGAATTGCTCTTGCTTTCATAAGCAATATGTGCAGGATCACTAATGTTTTTGATGACACAATATTTTTTCAAGTTAATTTCTTATTGTTTTAAATTAAAGTTTTTATTACTTACATATTTTTATTTTCTACAGATTTATCCGTGAGTTCTTCAAAGATGATTGTGAGGGCGATGAAGTTGACATTGAGGAGAATAAAGACAAAGATAAGGATAAGGAAAAAGATAAAGAGAAGGAAATTAAAGACGATAGTAAGAAGAAGGTCAGAAAACCTATGAGATGGTCAAAAGGAATTGTTGGAAAGAAACCTCGCCGGTCTAAGCAGGTACTGACATACTTTTTCAATTGTATCATTAGTGTTATTACTAATATAATAACCATAAAATCTTTATTCTTTTATTGAACTTAAAATGATATTTGCAATATTTTGAGTTTTTAGAAGGTAAATATTCAAACAATTAGAACAAACAAAATTACACATACCAAACAACTCTAAAATATGTTTAAAAATAGAAAAGTGTAGATGCTGTATACTGTTACTGGTAAAAGAGTGAGGACAAGTCCAGCAAATAGGCCTGCCCCAAAGAGTTTTGCCAATCCCAAAGATCATACCAATCATACCTTTTTACACTGTCTCAAAGCTTTTGGTTTTTCTAATGAAGCTCAAAAGGGATCACCATTTAATGGAGGAAGCTCTTAGTTCTAGGATGTCATCAGAGCTCAGAAGATTGTACCTAAACAAAACAAAAGGGTTACATTCTGCTATATACTGTAGGGCAGTTTTCAGTGCTTGTCTGCATAAGTGGCTGGTTTTATTACCTACTATCCTGAAAATCTTTAGATGTCTTAAGTCTGCATTAGCCTGTGACTACCCGAATAATTAATCGGATTTTATTTTTGTTTAGGTCTAGCAACCATTCAGGTAAAGAAGACCAGGGATTTTTGATTGAATGCTTGGCTAGTATAAAGCTGGTGCATTCCTTTCACTCCGTGGCCAAACAAGGACTTTGTTGCATTAATGTTTTTTTTATATGTATTTGATATATGTCTTTGATATAGATACCTCCATAATAGGGATCTCAGTTCCATTTCTTGCTAGCTTATCACCTTTCTTATTGCTTGTCCATTATGATCCATACTAGTTTCAGTTCTTAAAGTAGGCAAGTGTTTTTAATGCCTGCTTACATTCCCTCACTGGTATGTTAATTTTGTGAGATTGGCTATCTCAGTAGGTATTGATGCTGCCTCTTACACTTCCAAACACGTGGTTATGGCCAATATGGCAAATACTTCTGCCTGGATTACAGTAGGATGGAATACTTACTCTATGTCTGAAGTATTAACTCCTGCACCTGTTAGATCAGTTAATTCATTTCTCAAATATTCGGTGAAACAAGGTAGGTAGTAAGTTTCTACTAGGCCATGTGCCCAATCTGAAGATTTAGAGTATAAGTAGTTAACCTCGATATTTAAGATTAATGTTTTATAAAGATGGACCATTCCAGGCAGAATGGAACGAAACCTTAGGAAATTTCATTCCGTTGAAATTTAATCTAAGAGCAAAATGTGAACATCTTTAGGTTTCGATGGATAATTGTTCGTCAGAAGTCAAATAGGTACAAAAGGAATTTATAGCAATTAACCTTTTCCCTTCTGCGAGTGAGGAGCTTTAAATCTACCACAGTACTAATTAAGCCAGCTACCTGTCTACCGCCCCATGCTACTTACTTTTTACTGCTTTTCACTATTGCTTACTACTATACTATTGTTAAATTATTCTCCTTTTTGATTTGTGCTGTGGACCGACACTAGCGGAGTTGAAACTTTTTCTTATTTTTTTTTATGTTTAAATATTTATTTAACGATTTAATTTTGTATGGTATTGTTCGAAACATATGCCATTACAAAGAAAAGCCTTACAATTGCGACTTCTACCTTGGTTTTGCACCAAATATTTTTTTTATATTATATTTTTTTGGCTGTAGTTTAACTCAGCTGCTTCCTCATCAGTAAACCACTGTTTCTCCATTTTAAATAAAATAACAAAGCAAAAAACAAAAAAACAAAAAAAAGACTAACTTTTAACTAAAATAATTAATTCTAAATGACCATGTAACTATCTAAACTAATCTTATTTGATCTAATTTCTAACTATAATAACTAGACTAAACTAAATGACATTTTTATTAACTCAGAGCAGTTGAAAACAGGACGCAAAAACAAAAGAATGAAAATGGTTGAAACAGCCAGAGAACGATCGAGTCACCCATAATGATCATGAATCTACAAAAAAAGCTCCAAAATAAATCCCTACTCCATCTATAGGCTCTAGTTAGAAGCTTTATTTCGCTAGAAAACCAGTAGAATGTAGCAAGGTCACGGCAGGCTATACTTGACATTAGCAAATGGAAAGAAAATCAGAGGAAAATATATAGCCGAAGTTAGCACTGAGAGTTGGAATGGGGTCGACTATAGCCAACATTAGCAACAGTGGCTAAATCTTCCTTTAGGATATAAATGTTGTTCTGGAGGTCACGGTAATTCTGGGCCAATATGACGAGGTCATCCGCAAACGCCAGCAGAGAGTATAGAGTAGGCTGCATATCTCTGTGACCCAACTGAAAACTTCGCATCTTGTGTTTTGCTTTCCCCAGCGCCAGATCAAGAACCAGTACGAAAAGAAGTGGGCTCAGGCCACAATCTCCAGAAAGTGCTAGGAATTATAGATGAATCTGATCGTTAGAAAAAATGCATACTCATATTTCCAGTTTCATACAAAATATAGTGTGTAGTAAGGGAAAGTATCGATATTTCGATAATATTGGCTGCCGATGGTCATCCGTAAGTAGAGTAAATTCAATCGTCAAAGAAATCTATGTAGGATGCAAATAAATTGGCATTTTGCTGAATCCGATCTATTGGTGAATGGAAGGAATAATTGGTTGAATGGAAATTTCTGGAATAAGCTGAGGATGACGAAGATCTTTTTTGATGCGCCTAGTTGCTAGACACAATATTTATACTCTTATTCATATTACAAAAATTTTTATATTATCGATTCTCCATATTTCAAGTCCGATATTTTGATGGTATCGATTATTACAGGCCAATATTAATATTGATATTAGGCCTTCGATATCCCGTCCCATGCTTAAAGTCACCTGAGAGCCGTATTACAGTGTTTTTAGTATGAAATTTCTTGTGAAATAAGGGAGAACATTATAAACAGTATACCCAATAGGTGCAGAGAGGTAATGCGCAACTGAATACATTACACAAATTATTAAATTTTACAAAATCCTTATAATTTGCAATCATAAAAACAAAATTACAAAAGCTTTTAATTTTTTTTTTTTTTTAAAACAGCTTTTATAAGATTCCCTAAAGTCAGATACAATCTTATTTGTATTAATGTGCAATGTATTTTATAATAAAATTTCTAGAGAAAATAAATCTTATATAAATAACAATATCCTTATTCATTTGTGTGCAGTATATTAGATTTTAACTATGGTTTATGATTGCAGATAACATCAAAATTTTATTATATTCTCTTGGCTAAGTTTTTTGTTGCGGATGTCCTCAGCAGGAGAATTTGAAGAGATGCACGTTGTAGTGAATCATAAAATCCTTGGATCTGCAGATGATATAGTTGTCCTTGGAAGTAACGAAGAGGACATTAAGGAACTCTCTAAGATTCTGATAAGAGTAACAGAGAAAATCGGCCTACAAGTGAATGAAGATAAAACAAAATATTTGATAATTAGTGAAAAATTCCAATCCAATAACGTGATCTGCATATAAGGGAAATCATTCCCGAGAATAGACAAATTTGAAAAAATGTGAAATGAAGGGTTTACAATGCTATGATGATGCCAGTTCTGATATACTGCTGCAAGACCTGGAGATTAACTAGCAATTTAGAAAATTTTGAGAGAAAAATCTTTGAATCTCGAAAGACCTATAAAGAGCTGTTTAGAAAAACTGGTCAATCAATATCTCATGATATGTAGGCATGGAGATTAAGATGGGCAGGGCATATAGTTTGGAGCAATCCATCTGGAAGCCTCTACACGATAATGAATGCCGCAATAGTAGGCAAAAGACCTACATAAATAGGTCAAAAACCAGATGGATAGATGGAATTAACAAAATGCAATGGGATTGCATGCAGATGACTGGAAAGCAATAGACCAAGATAGTCAGGGATAGAGAAAGTTGATTTAAGCAGCAAAAGATTACAAGGTCTCTTATGCCAACAGAAAAACCAACAACTTTATAAATAATAGATTGATCCTTAGCTGATTTATAAGAATAAATAATATTTTGCCATAGCAGGACTAAAACTCTGGGTCATGAGCATTAGAGCATAGTGCCTTACTCACTGAGCTAACCCTAAAATTAACTATATGTCAATTAGAACAATATTAATTTTAAATTTAATGTATTATAAAATATCAACGGTACTAAACTTTTAACATAACATGTGGATAAGTATAGTAAAAAGTAAGGTTACTTTCCCGGCACACCGAGGAGAAAAATATGTTACCTACAATGTCTTTGTTACAACTTTGTTAAAAAAAATATTACATGTGCAAACATGATGATTTTTCCTCCTGGCTGAAAATTGAAGTACTTAACTGCATACTTGTAGACAATTTAATGTTTTATAATTTTTTGCATGAAATGTTTTAAGCTAAGACCAACCGTTTTTGAATTTTAAACAAAAAACATGATATTTTTCCCTCATTAACTCTTTTTACCTCTGCTCCTAGATCCAGGGACTGTTAGTATGTTTATTTTTTTAATTAGTTCGAACAAAGCTCTGAAGCAATTTTGATTAACCTCTCTTTTAAGCATTCATTGACTGGACTATTGAACTTTCCAATAAACAGCTTAAAGTATTTTAAGTATATATATATATATATACATACATATATATATATATATATATATATATATATATATATATATATATATATATATATATATAGCATTTCCAAGTCAATTTCAACCTTTTCCAAATCAAATTCAACCTTTTCCAAATCAAATTCAACCTTTTCCAAGTCAAATTAAACCTTTTCCATTTCAAATTCAACCTTTTCCAAGTCAAATTCAACCTTTTCCATTTCAAATTCAACTTTCGAATTTTTGTCAATTTTCGATTTTTTTCGAAATGAAGGCCACTTACTATATTATCGAAGGCATAGCTTTTGAAAAATACAAAAAAAAAATTTGATAACGCGGTTGCATATCCATTTATTTTAACATTTTAGATTTTTTCAGTGTGATATTTCTATGTCATTTCCAAGTCAAATTCAACCTTTTCCAAGTCAAATTCAACCTTTTCCAGATCAAATTAAACTTTTTCCAAGTCAAATTCAACCATTTCCATTTCAAATTAAACCTTTTCCAATTCAAATTCAACCGTTTTCATTTCAAATTAATGTTTTAATTTTTTGTAAATCTTATATTTTTTTTTTAAATAATGGCCATCCCCTCCCCCCCTCCAATATGAAAGTCTATTATTATGCTCTCCTAAGTAGAATTTTCACATACGGATATCGATTTATTGTACCTATTCGGATTTATTAGGGACTAGTATTATGCTGTCCTGTACCTAGTTTTGAAAATAACCCCCATTTTAAGATTAAGTGACTGCGTTTAGAATCATTTAAGTTTTTTTTACTTATTCGATATAAGGGTGTATTTTTATGTTTCCCAATCAGTAAATTTTGAAAATGACATCCATTTTATGTTTACTCCACTGTGTTTTGACTTATTTAAGTTTTTAGAATTTATCCAATATAAAGGTCTACTTTTATATTTCTGGAGCCGTAGATTTTGAAAACGACCTCCATTTTAAGATTAGGCCACCGCGTTTCGACTTATTGGAGTTTTTCGGATTTTTTTCATATGACGGTGTATTCTTATGTTTCTGGAGCCGTAGATTTTGAAAACGACCTCCATTTTAAGATTAGGCCACCGCGTTTCGATTTCTTTGAGTTTTTCGGATTTTTTTCATATGTGGATGTATTCTTATGTTTCCGGAGCCGTAGATTTTGAAAACGACCTCCATTTTAAGATTAGGCCACCGCATTTCGATTTCTTTAAGTGTTTCGAATTTTTATCATAAAAGAGTGTATTCTTATGTTTCCGGAGTCGTAGATTTTGAAAATGACCTCCATTTTAAGATTACGCCACTGCGTTACGGCTTATTCAAGTTTTTCGAATTTATCCAATTTAAAGGTCTACTTTTATGATACCGGAGCCTTGGTTTTTAAAACGACTTACATTTTTAAGATTAGGCCACTGTGTTTCGGTTTTTTTAAGTGTTTTTGATTTTTCCTTCGAATAAAAAACAAAAAACGAAGGATTAATTTATTTTTCAATAAATAAATAAAATATATATTGTCTCATTTTTAATTTAATTTTAATTTTTTTTAATGTTGTGGTCTCCTGTCACAAAATTATAAGATTTTGAACAATTAGCTGAAAAATCTGAATACGGAAGGTTAAATTTATTACCAGCTGCTTTTCGGCTTTTTAGTTTGTATTCTGTGGTTAATTTAACTTTAGCTTCATAATATTTATTTATTTATTCATACTCGAAAACATATTAATGAAACTTTGTATTGAAAAAATCCAAAATGAAGCCTAATTATTCGAGATGCACCGGCTTAATCATAAAATGGAGCTTAAATATTAGATAAATTCAAATATTAAGGATTAGAAAAATTTCAATACATCTCGGATAACATATAAGTACCTTATACCTTATACCGAAAAAGTAAAAAAAAAAACTTTTATAATCCAAAACACAGTGGCATAAACTTGAAATTGGGTCATTTACAAAATGGGGGAAATCTACTACTCCAGAAACATAAAATTAGACCTTTATACTTGTTAAATTCTTAAAACTTAAATAAGTTGAAACGCAGAGGCGTAATCATAAAATAGACGTCATTTTCAGAATCTACGGTTCCGAAAACATAAAAGTAGACCTTTAAATTTGATAAATTCGAAAAACTTAAACAAGTCAAAATGCAATGGCGTCATCATGAAATGGAGGTTATTTTCAAAATCTACGGCTCAAGAAACATAAAAGTAGACCTTAATATTGGATAAATTCGAAAAACTTAAATAAGTCAAAACGCAGCGGCGTAATAATAAAATGTAGGTCATTTTCAAAATCTACAGCTCCGGAAACATAAAAATACACCCTTACATCGAATAAATCAAAAAAACTTAAATAAGACGAAACGCAGTGGCGTAATCTTAAAATGGAGGTCATTTTCAAAATCTACAGCTCCGGAAACATAAAAATACACCCTCATATGAAAAATATCCGAAAAACTCCAATAAGTCGAAACGCGGTGGCCTGATCTTAAAATGGAGGTCGTTTTCAAAATCTACGGCTCCAGAAACATAAAAGTAGACCTTTATACTGGATAAATTCTAAAAACTTAAATAAATCAAAACACAGTGGTGTAAACATAAAATGGATTTCATTTTCAAAATTAACTGATGGGAAACATAAAAATACACCCTCACATCGAATAATTCAAAAAAACTTAAATAATTCGAAACTCAGTCACGTAATCTTAAAAAGGAGGTTATTTTCAAAAACTACCCATACGCTAACAGACCCACACATCGAAAAATTAAAGATAATTAAATAAATAAAAAAAGGTTGAATTTGAAATGGAAAAGGTTTAATTTGAAATGGAAAAGGTTGAATACGACTTGGAAAAGGTTGAATTTGACTTGGAAAAGGTTGAATTTGACTTGGAAAAGGTTGAAATTGACTTGGAAATGCTATATATATATATATCCATTAAGTTGCTTGGTTTAATTTTATTATTTTATCTCCCCCTAGAGTCCTGATCCTTCTAAAACAGAAGAGACTTCAGGAAGCAATTCTGGTGATAGCACTATGACAGAAGGTGAGTATCTATTCTCTAAATTAATTAGTATTCTTATATATTTATTTTTGCTTATAAATATTAAAAATTTATTTATTTAATTTTATGTTTTTAAACTTCTATTCCAGATATTTCTAAAAAAGAAGAGGATAATTCAGATACAGAAACTCAAGAAACTGAAAAGGAACAGAAAAATGGTAATTGTTTAAAATTCATTTTGTTCTTTTTTTTATAAACTATATTCTCACTAAATTATTTTGTTTTAATATTATTCTAATATAAATAATAATGCCTTAGAGAGAAAGGTGCAAATCGACTGCAACAAGTTAAGCTCGATTTTCAACAGAACTCTGACAATAGCCAAAGAAATAGAACAGATTGATACTTTAGTAAATCTCTACCTCAGCCTCAGGACTATTATAGATGATTATAAATCTCAATGGGACCGAAATACCATGCTTCAGGTAAAGTATTTTATCTTCTTAATAAATACAATCAGTTATCATATACAAGTGATTGTGGTTTAAATTTTTATTTTACTTAATTTTTCTCATGTGGATCTCATCGTGTTTCTGATGAAGAACAAATTGGTTTCTGCATTGAGGGACATCCAAATTTTTCTATAAAATATCAATAGTCATATTTCAGGGGGTTTGGTCTAAAATCTCATGGATAAAGATCCATTCTTCGCCTGAAGATAGTGATGGTGAAGATAAATGTGAATTTTATCAGAAACTATTGTGAAAGACAAATGCATAACTGTTATCTATTATACTTTATTGTATATTTTTATCTCATTGCAACAGAGAGAAAATTATGGAATCTCAAGTTTTTGAACAATTGAACTATTTTATAGTAAGGCGTAAATGCCGGTTCTACTCTCACAATTCGTACAGGATTTTTGAAATTTGAACCCTAGACTATTTTTACCTTAAACACGTGCACGCCACGTGACCTACATAATTATTTCAGTTAATCTTAATCCTAATTCTTAACCCTAATTTGTATTTTTTTTATTTTCAAGTTCGACAGGACTGAACTTGTCTCAACTGGTTCTAACTTGTCTACCTCAAGTAAATATAAATTGTAACGACAAAAATATATACATATATTGTGATATACTACGATATCATGTCAAAACTTGTATCATCATGTACCATCCTGTGTACCTCAAATAAATATAAATATAAATTGTAACATCAAAAATATAAAAATATATTATTAAAAACAAATATATATTATAATGATGGAATAAACATCTGGCCAAAATGCATATTACAATAAAAAATAACTACAAAATAAGTAGTAACAGAAGTATTTATATAACTCTACAGATATATTAAAGAAATAATATGAGCAATATGGTCACAATACTGCAAAATAATTGCTACAAACAATAAACTATAGAATACTAAATGTAATTTGAAATGAACGATAAATTACTTTTGTTGTCATAGCATTGTATTAAGAAAAAAAAAACCATTGTATTAATAAAAGAGCAGATAAATATTCACTATAAATGATTTACATCTGTACCTTAATGTGCTCAAATGAATACAATAATAGTATTGTATACATTATACAAGTCTTATATAATCTATATCCTAAGATGTAGATTGATCAGAGAAAATAACAGATGATATACATATATAGGAGTGCATTCAATATAAGTAATCAATTAAATCTTCCCAAAGACTGACAAAGAATCTTATATATTCAAAAACTAACAAAAAACAATTCTCAGTGAAAGTGACTAGACATCTTTTCTCCAGAAATAGAAAAGAATTCTTCTCAAAAAAGAATATATATATACACAAATGATACATAGAAAAAAATGCAATTTTGTTACATGATAAATGGCTACCCAGCGTCTGATTGAATTGTAAGGAGAAATTGGAATAAGAGGGTTGGTTTTAAATATTGATAAGGATGGTGCATGGCGGATTTTAAGTGGGATGAAATTCCAAAAGGTGATGGAGCAGACAATAAAGGAGTGTTGAAATAAGACAGATTTGTGGAAAGGGGTATAAAGGTCAGAAGGACAAGATCTTGTGGAGAGGGAGTGGATGTGGAATGGACTTGAATTAGACTTGAATTGAAGGAGATTGAATGCGTAGGATGGACGATGATTATAGATTATTTGGTAAAGGAATGTACCTAGGAAATATTGTTTTCTGAAGGAGGGAAAGAGCCACCTTAACTCGGTGTGGTAGTGGGAAACACGAAAACGTCTTAGGGTTCCATTGACAAATCTTACTAAGCCATTCATGATTCTTTAGTATGTCTCCAAGTTCTGATGAGAGGCCACCGTGCACTATGCAGCCGTAATCAAGGTGGGGAAAGATCAGGGTGGTTACTAGGAGTCTACCTGTGGACATGGGTAGGAGATGGCGGAAGCGATGGAAGATTTTCAGAGTGGAAATTGAACGTCCGGATATGTGGGAAATATGGTGATTTCAGGAGAGGGTTTGATCTACGAAAATACATAAGTTTTTAACTGAAGAGTTGAAGGTGATGGGTTGGCCATTTAAGTACAGGAGAAGAATGTTGGTATTGGATCTGAGAAGGGGTTTGGAACCAATGACAATGGCTTGGGTTTTAGCAGCATTTAACCTTAATCCATTTTCATTTGCCCAGGCACAGATCCGATTTAGGTCTTCTTGTATTTTAGCAAACGCATCATGTCACTCATAGGGAGCGAAGGAGAGGTAAATTTGGGAATCATCGGCATAAAGGTAATAGGAACAGTGAAGGATTGATTTATGAAGGTCGTTAATATATGAACTAAAAAGGAGAGGAGATATGCTAGAGCCCTGTGCCACTCCTGAGGACAGTGTTAGATAGGAAGATAAAGGTTGGTTAGGAATAGAGACTGCTTAGGTATGTTGAGAGAGGAAAGATTGAAACCAAAGGATAGAGCTGTTGGAAAAGGATAATGATTTTAATTTGGAGAAAAGGATGGAATGATTGATGGTATCAAAGGCTTTGGAAAAGTCAAGGAGTAGAAGGACAGTTAGTTTTTTGTCATCTATGATGGACTGAACATCACTAATGATTTTGATTAGGGCGGATTGTGTGGAGTAACCTGGTGTATATATATATATATATATATATATATATATATATATATATATATATATATATATATATATATATATATATATATCTTGTAACATCTCTCTTCTATTTTAAGCTAGTAATAAACCTTGTGTAAGATCACTTCAATACTATTGGGATACTTCCTAAATAAATAAGAGGTTATTAAATAATAAACAAAATTATAAGAGTATTAATATATTAATTTATCTCAGGTATGGGTTACTGATAATCAGATCAAAACAGTCAGACAAACTAACATTAACTATACTGAACACTGTTTGATTTTAAAATAAAGTCCAACATGGATTGAAAAGCTAACCTTTTTTCTAGATATACTGTTTCTTCCTTTGTTGCACTAAATTCATTTCTCTTCTAACATTTTCCTATTTTCTGCCAAACACATCTTCCAAAATGGTGACACTATCTTCTACTCAACTTAAGCTCCGTGGGAGATCCTCTCTCTTGTAATTCCAAACAACTAGTCTCTCTGCCAAACAACTTCCAAGATGGTAATAATATTACTGGGTTTTACCCACTGGAGCCTTTTACCAAGGGATCCTTCTCTTATCCTCGCTTCTCTGCAGCCATACAACAACTGCTGGCCAAAGCAAAACCCTTTGTTTCATCCCCTCTTTCAGATTTTCCTTTTTGGGGAAACTACAAAGCAGCTATTTTCTTTTACCTGAACTAGTAAAACTAGATTAGCTTGCCTTTTAACTGTTACATTAATTTATTAAATCATTTTTAACAACTTTAAATTAAGGTGTATATTACAATCTATTATTACAAAGGAATATATACATACATGGTATATATCAATATAATTTAAATTTTTTAATGTTAAAAAATTACTTATTTTTAATTCATAAGTTTTTAATGTGGTTGTTCTGTGATAAATTAACATATTTATTTTTTTTCTTCCCACATTTTAAGAGCAAAACGAAGAAGAAATAGAACGATCATTCTCATTCCAAGTAATAGAGGGAATTGAAATGGAATGGAATAAGTGATCTTGGAATGAGTTTCAGAATGAAACAGTCTTGATTTGGCTTTAGGAAACCATTCCATTTTTGGAACGGTAAGGAATTGAAACGAATGGTTTCATTCCAAGCCAAGGTCAGAAAGAGAATAGTTCGAAACGAATGGCTTTGTATTGATTTGAGGAAACAAAGTCAGCTTTCCAATTGGTTTAATTTTTATAAAACTTATTTAACTTATAAGCTTAAAGGTTAAACTTATAAGCTTTAAATTAATTAAGGTTAAATTAATAAGAACTAAGTAAAATAGAAAAGAGAAATAGATTTTATTATTTATATTTTCATTATATACTCTTTTATATCTTCCTGGAACTGTGGGGTATAATAATAAAAGGCTTAGCGAACCTGAAGATTCGATGAGGGCACTACAAATTGCTTATTACACACCTCCTTCTACTTTGCCATCCAAACCCAGTCCCTTGATATTGGCTTTCATGCAATCTTCCCACCTTCGCCTCGGTTTTCCCCTTGGACTTTTGGCATTTGGCACAGCAAATATTAACCTTTTAGGAATTCTTTCGTTACTAAGCCCAACTATTTTACAAGCCCATTTGATTCTACGCGATGTAATCACTTCAATTATATTAAACAGATACAGTTCACGCAATTCGGCGTTGTGTAACCGTCTGAGCTCTCCGGTTAACTCATCTTTCTTTGGTCCGAATATTCTACGCAATTCTTTATTTTCAAAAACCTTAAGAAATTGCTCATCCCTTAATGTAAGCGGCCATGTTTGGCATCCATAAAGAACTGTAGGTAAGATAATGGTTTTATAGATTCTAATTTTTAAGTTTCGGAACAAGAGACGCGAGCTAAGTAGTTTTGTCACAGAAAAATAACAAGCATTTCCCACCTTCAGTCTAACCTTAAACTCTTCTTCAATTTCTTTTTTTCTAGTTATCGTAAACCCTAGATACCTAAACTTCTACCTGTTCAAACATTTTACCATCTATATCGATATCACCAGTAATATCGCCATTTTTGCAGGTAACCATATATTTTGTCTTATATGTGTTTATTTTGAGCCAGAGTTCTTTACTGGCATTCAATAATGTTGTCGTATTTAGTTTTATAGTTTCCACGTCTTCGGTTAACAGTACCATTTCATCCGCATAGCCCAGAAAGGGTGTTGTTCCACCCAGATTCAACCCTTTTCCGGTACACATTACCTCCCTAGTGGCATGTTCTAATGCCAAATTGAACTGGACAGGCGAAAGGGAATCCTCCTGTTTTAAACTCGAATGAACCTCAAACTTTTCGGATTATTACCGATTCTAACTTTATTGAGTGTTTCCGTCAAGCACATCCTGACTAGATTTACTAATTTTTTTGGAATCCCCTGCTCGATTAGAACATTATACAGTTTCTGACGGTCAACAGAATCGTAAGCCTTTTTGAAATTGATAAACAGCTCGTGAACAGTACCGTTGTACTCTAATTTCTTCTCTAATATTTGCCGTAAAGAAAATATTTGATCAATAGTCGAACAATTCCGTCTAAATCCGCCTTGGTAGTCTCCAATAATTTCCTCGCCACATTCTGTGATTCTAATAGTTAAGAATTAATGTGAATATTTTATAATATACTGGAAGGAGTGAAATTCCTCGATAGTTATTACAATCCATCCTCAGGCCATTTTTGTGAATCGGAATAAGAATTGATTCTTTCCGTTCTTCAGGTAATTTCTCATTCTCCCAGATCTTTTTAACTAACCAATGTATTTTAGAAACTCCAGCTTCCCCGCATGCCTTAATTAGTTCAGTAGGAATATTATTGGTTCCCACTGCTTTGTAAGATTTTAATTTTCCGATAGCTACTTTAACTTCCTCTTTACTCGGTTCTTCTGTTAATGGTTCAGCACTCTGGTATTCAGGAGGACACAGGTCATAATTTCCAGTATTTAAAATATTGTCTAAGTGGTTCTTAAACTTATTTAATATGTCTACCGGAATGGTTAGAATATTGTTATTTTCAACCCTAATTCTAGACGTGATGGGCCCTAAACATTTACGTGATCTGTTTATACCTTTATACATGTCTCTTACGTTATTTTCAACTCTATTAGTTTCTATTTCAATTATTTTATTTTTAAGATACTCCTTTTTTTTATTTTTGAGTAATTTTGTCGTTTCAATCTTTGAGGTTCGGAAGTATTCCAGATCGCCTTCGTTAGGATTATTTAGAGCTTTTAATTTAGCGGCTTTTCTTTTTTCGCACATGTTTAAGCAATCTTCATCAAACCATGGTTTATTATTCTTATTTTCCTTTTTTCCTAGACACAAGTTACCAACCGCTTTAATATTATCCCTGATCTCTACCAATAACTTGTCAATATCCTTGCGATCCTCGTCAGAAAGCTCTAAAACTTCAAACCTATTCTTAACATCTAGCTCGAATTGGGTTCTAATTGATGGATTTTTTAATTTTTCCAAATTCTCAAAATCGAAACGGTTTTCTTTTCTTTTTTTTATATTAAGTTTTTGTGAAAGTTTTGCGATTACTAATTCATGATCTGACCCACATTCTGCTCCGCAATAAGCCTGTACAATAATTATACTGCTAATCCAGCTATTTTGTATCAAGACATGATCGATTTGATTTTGTGTTTGCGAATCCGGTGATCTCCAAGTATATTTATGAATATCCTTATGTTTAAACGTAGTATTTTTAATTATCAGGTTTTTGAGATGGCAAAGTTTATCAGACGTATCCCATTATCTTTACTATATTCATGCAAACTTTCTTTACCAATCGTCGGAACATAAACTTCTTCCCTTCCCACCTTTGCGTTTGCGTCACCTACAATTATTTTCATGGATTTTCATGGTAGTTTATCATAAACCCATTCGAGTTTATCGTAAAATTCACTTTTTACTTCATTGTCACTGTCTTCGGTCGGACAATGTATGTTTATTAATGCGATTTTAGACCAACCTCCCTGAAATATAGCTACCGAAATTCTATCACTAAAGAATTGTACGTCCCTCAAAGCGGATAGCAATCTATTCCTAATTAAATAACAGTCCCAGAAAAATAAAATATATTTTCATTTCATTTCATTTTGTTTTAATTAGATATTATTTTGTAAATATTTAATTTAATTTATGGCCATACAGGATTTTACTCTATTTATAATTTATTCTAAAAAGAAGACAGTCACAGGTTAATAAAAAATATTTTCATATATATAAACACAAAATTATGTTTGAAAAAAGATATTCAAAGATTTTATTTAATGTATATGTTTCAGGAAATTGAAAAGGAACTAGCAAAGTTTGAATTGGAGCATGAAAAGTCAAGATTAAGCTTTTCTTAACTAATTTTTTAATTTAATAAAATAAATATGCTGTGAAAAAATAAAGCAATTGTTGTTAGTATCAGCTTTTGGTTCATTAGTCCTTTTTTTTATCATCATTTTATTATTCATTAACCATTAATCTGTAGCTACTTTAAATAAATGATTTATTTATTTTTCCTTTTCCCAAAGATCTCCATTCTCCAGGAGGGAGAGTGAAGGAGAGGCAGAGAGAGATTGATTGATCTTTTATAGTCTTAGGGCCTAGGGCCACTTTCTTACAAACAAAAGTAAAGCGACATTCTAGACTTAACATTTTTCAATATAAAATAATGATAATTTTTCCAATTTAATTTTAATGTTAGTATAATTTTTATAAAATAAAGTTAGTATATGTGTTAGTAGTATAAATATATATATTTTTTTAAACTTCTTTATTGAGATATTACAATCTATCATGGATTCAAGGACAATAGTAATAGTGATATAGAGTAGCTCATTCATACCATGTACAATAAATAATAATAATAAACGGCAATATAATAATACTAAAGTAAATTGTATATAAACTAAAAGATATTAAACTAAATAAAAATAAACCAATCTAACAAAATAAATATTTAAATTCACACATGCTTTTATACATTATTTACAATATTCAGTCATTCAAGATCTCCGAGCCAAGCCCTTCCCCACACTCATGGAGGGAAAGGCAGGACTCTAGGAGATCCCAGCGTCTTTCACTCAGCCGCATCAATGGTATTACCAATGGGGACTGAGCAGAGACACTATAACCAGACATACATGGCTTGAGTGGAGAATCTGGCCATTGCCATATCTCCTATATATTCTTACAACAAGTCTCTGGGCCACTGCCGCTTCAACCTTCGAGGAGGATTGTAGAGATGAGTAGTACTAGAGAGGGATTGTGCAATTGGATTTGGATGATATGTAAGGTTTTGGTGGAATTATGGAAAATTTTTGAGGGATAAGGTCTAGGACAAATGGGATATTAAGGTCTTGATGTAGGGTTTGGTTGGTTACATAGAACAGAGCATCAACTATTGTTCGAAGGACTTTGGACTGCAAGGATTGAATCCATTTGATGTTAAAATATTTTGCTGTCCCCCTCACTTCCAGTCTGTAGGTCCAAATAGGTTTCAGTATTGTCTTGTAGATCAGTAGTTTGTTGTCAATTGAAACTTGAGATTTTCTGTTCAGTAGTCTATATAGCTGGCCATATCGTCAGTTGAGTTCTTGTCTTTTGAGTCTTGTATGTGGGTTCCATGTCAGTCTTCGGTCTAAGAGAAAGCCAAGATACCGGACTGTGTCTAAGTAAGGAAGCTGGATGGAATTAAAGTGTACTGGTGGACAGGAATTGCGCCGGAGAATAAAGGTAATATGTTTGCGTTTCGACTCATTCACTTTAATGCGCCAATCATTACACCAGTGCTCAATAAGGGAGAGGTGCCTTTGTAGATTTAAGGATGCTATTTCAGGATCTAAGTTGGATGATAGGATTGCGGTGTCATCAGCAAATATTGCAAGGAAGGTATCAGAATGAGCAGGGATGTCAGTGAAAAAGAGGATGTAAAGCATGGGACCAAAGACGCTGCCCTGGGGAACACCTTTAGCTATGTCCAGAAATGCACTCGAACAGTATTGCTTGTTTTCTAGACCTGCTGATATATGATCAATGTCTCGAAGTCCTTGTTGAACAGTGGAATGTTTTAAGCGAAAACCAAACTGATGGGAAGGAAGATTTTGGGATTCTATGAGTGGTAGGAGTCGTTTCAAAAGGATCTTTTCAAAGATTTTTTAAAGGATCGGGAGTAGGCTGATTGGTCTATAGGATGTCAAGCTGTTGGGAGGTTTACCTGCTTTTGGAAAAAGGTTAATGGTGGAGTGTTTCCATAATAGAGGAAAGTGGGTGGTACGTAGTATGCAATTGTAGATATATGTAAGGAATATGACTGCTTTGGATGGAAGTTGTCGAAGGATCTGAGGGTTAAGGAGATCATCACTTATATTTGAAATATTTGGGGATATCTATAATTTTTAGTGTACACAGGAATTTCATCTTTTGTTAAAACTTTGTGGTTAATTCGCGTGTTTGCTGTTAGCGGAGTACCCTTTATATAAAATAATTCTTGAAATTGTTTTACTAAATTTTTAATCTCCTTTCTTTCCTCGTTATTTAGATGATCTATGTAAATGAGTTCTTTTATTTCGGTTAAATTTGATTTTTCTGCATTCATTAAGTTTACACTATAATTTCATTAATCTTAAAATTGTTTATAGGGTTTACTAAGATAGGGGTTTTAATGGTTATTCCAAGGGATTTATCTGAATTATTTGTTATTGTACAAAGAGCTTCATTATTTTTAACTGATATATAAGGTAGGCCTTCATGTATTGTAAGGAAATTGTTGAAGTCGGTATGAGAAATAATACCTTCTCCGTTAGAAATATTTTTCATTGGAATTTGGTTACGGTTTTCGAATCGTTAGTTATTTTATAGGTGTATTCCAATTGTGGAGGTTTATTACATAAAAAATGTTGAGATTGCCAAATGGTGTTATTATTATATCTTCTAATAAATCAATTTTAGATCCTAACAACTTAAGGTTGTCAATGCCTAGTAATAAATCAAATTTTTCGTGAAAACTGAAAATTTCAAATTTAAGAAGGGTGTTAGTATTTGGAAATAATTTTGATGACTGGACAAATAGCGTTATAATGTTGTAATGAAGAACCATGAGCTTTTGTTAGTTTAAATGATTCATGAGTAATATTTTTTTTTTAAACTTATTTATTCAGAATTAGAAATGATATTGGGTTTCATTTTCTACGGAGCTAACAGGGGTCACTGTAGGTGTTTGACGAGGCTTTTGTTTGACAGGCGAAGAACGGGGTGTCGAGTCTAACGACCGAATTCTCTTATAGGAAGCTCTAATAGACATGACCTGGTGGTGAGACTGCATAAAAGAAATGGAGAAAAAAATTTATTACTGCAAATAGTAATATCAATTGTCCTTATGTACCCTTGACCTGTTTTAAATGAATAATATCACAAATTATGCTGATAATCCAGCAAATTCTGTGAACCCAGGCAGAAGTACAACCTTTGATCGGAAATGTGTGTCAATATTATTATTAAAGAATTTATTTATTATATTGGGTGTAACGAGTGATTTTGTGCAAGCTGTGTCAGTAAAATTTTTAAATTAGAGTTTGGTAATATGATAAAGGAAGAACGCTGTAACTAGTGTTGCCCAAATGCAAGACCAAACCGAGTTTTGCTCTTGCACACTCAGTGTTGATCTTGGTCTTGCTCAAGAGTCTCGCAACAGTCTTGCAGTTACATATTATCTTATTACTATAGAGATATTACTGTAATTTTTTTAGATAAGAGAAACTTAACTAAGCCAGAATGAAAAATTAGAAGAGTTAAATCCAAAAGTATATTGGTTATACCAATTCTTTACATATAGTAACTAAAATTGTCAGATATTAGTAACTATATTACCTTCATTATTATTCAAAAGATAGATTTTTTTTACCAATCTTGGTCTTGGTCTTGCAACAGTTAGGCGCTCTTGGTCTAGGTCTTGCAAAGTGCAAAACCAAGACCGATTTTCGGGCAACACTAGCTGTAACTTGTTAAATTTAGTATATCAGCATGGGGAATCGTATTCTCTACGTCCACGGGTTTTGTGACAGGTTGGGGTATAAACAGATATTTTGACAAATATCAGGATCATCCGGGTATGGTAAAGATTTCTTATAAACATCTGGGAATTATTTAGTGGGTTCATTAGACACTAATGGGAGTCATTCAAACTTTTTTTAAAGGAGGGATGAGGTGAGATAAAAGATTCGTAAGGATAGGAGTGGGGTAACAAGGGTTTAGAATTCGATGAGAAAAGATGCCAACAAACTGGTGAGATCTGTGACATTTGAAGGGGGAGGAATATGAGGCATTTGAAGTTGATGAGGTTGTTGTTCGGCAGGGCTTCACATTTATTTGTTTGATTCTTACCTACAATTAGTTGGGAGAGTAAAACATTAGAGTTCGCTACTATAGAAGGTTCTCTTCTTGGTCTGGTAGTCTTATCTTGTATCTCAGGTCTTCTGGCTAGTGTTGCCCAAAATCGGTCTTGGTCTTGGTCTATCACTTTTGCAAGACCAAGACCAAGACCTGACCTTGCAAGAGTGTTGCAGGTCTTGCAGTAAGTCAAACAGACTATTTTCAGATATAGTACGGTGCTTAAAACATTTTAACCATCAAATCTAAACAGCTTTGTTTTTTCTTCTGGAATTGTATATTTGAGTATAGCTTTCCAAATAATAATACAAAATTAATCTTTTTTTTTGTTCCCCCTTCTTAGCCATTTATATTATACAGGGGTTTTCGCGGAACAGGTGGTGAGGGTGCGAGATTATTGCCAGTTAAAAGACCCCCCTCGGGCAGCGGAACGCGAACTCATAATTACTTTATTGTCTCCAACTATGGTTATCAGATTGCCGGGAATCCGCAGTGCTTTGCACACTCGTTAGTCCGCTTGGCCCCCCGCCCTTAAAAATTAATCATTTGCCAGGACCGGAGCAAGATAAGAAAACAAAACAAAAAAAGCGTTTTCATGAATAAAAATCTGGTGCGCCCAACTCACAACTTTCACTTACCACTCAACTTTGAATAGAAATTATTTTCTGGCCATGTTGGGCTATTAAAAAATTATTGATTTGCATTTTTAACTGAACTAAAGCTAAAATATTGCATGGGCGATAAAAAGATAGTAGCTAACAAATCATACATACTATTCAAATAACAAAAGTCCTATTTATTATATCACCGATTGATTATGGATTGTATGACTATTAGTTATTAAACTATTATTTTCCATTGCAAAGTTTATTAAAACGGAATTAAGAGATTTGCATTATCTGTCATAGACAGGTCAAAAGTTGTCACACTAATTGTAAGTGGATTCTGTTGGAATATCGCAAAGGGAAAATTTATCAAATTATTCACTAATTTAATTTTCTAAAAGGTTACATAATGATTTTTCGGAATAAACGGACGATAGATACCTAATTATTTAAATATAATGTCTGATCTAGAGTTATTAAACAACAGTAAATATATTTAAGGTTATAAGCGTATCCATGAAATATATATATTTCACTTCTTCTTTCACACAAGTACAATGAAATAGTATCTTAAACAATGTAATTGCCTTTTATATGCTGTTTCAAACTTTAAAAAATTGTTAAAAGTTTAAATTTAGTAAGAAAATTTCAGTTAATTTCCTTGAAAACATGTTATTATTTATATTGTTTTTACCACTCTTTGTTACCTTCTACAACTTTCTATATTAGATATTGTTTTTTATAAAATTCTCCGCTTTTCAATGGTATATTATACGTTTACCTTCTGACAAGTATTACCCGAGATTCATTTTCGACCTGGATAAGTATTTTTATTTTTTTCTACTTTATTTAATCATCAAATTCTTCCAAAATTTATATTTAGCATTTTTCCATAACTCCTAACAATGATAAATAGATATTATTTATAATAAACCAAATTAAAGATCTATAATCACTAAACTACAGTAAATGTATTTAAGGTTATGAACATATGCCTTATACATCCTTGAATTGATTTTATATTTTACTTCTTCTTTCACACAAACCTGCCAATAATACAACATCCTATAGACCAATTAGCCTACTCCCAATCCTATCAAGCATTTTTGGAAAGATCCTACTGAAAAGAATCCTACCCATAATAGAATCCCATAAAATTCCTACCCATCAATTCGGATTTCGTTCCCAACATTCCACTGTCCAACAAGGACTCCGAGTTGTCGACCATATATCCTCAGCCCTATAAAAGAAGCAATACTGTTCGGGTGCATTTCTGGGCATAGCACAGGCTTTTGACCGGGTATGGCACGCTGGACTGCTCTTCAAGCTTAAATGTTATCTACAGTCCTTATATCTAATACTCCGATCCTACCTCTCTGACCGCTCCTTTCAAGTTCGCAGTGGTACTGAATTCTCCGACTGTCATTTAATTGAGGCGGGAGTTCCTCAAGGCAGCGTCTTGGGTCCCGTCCATACAGTGGGGATTTCTGGGCAGAAGAGAGATAACGAAGCGAACAGTTTACAAATCGGCATTTCTCCATATATCCTTTCGTACTCCTCTGAATCGTGGACCCTCACCTCGAAATACAAAAGCCTAATGCAAGCCATGGAGATGCGATACCTTCAGAAGGTCGAGGGAAAGATCAGAGGAGATAGGTCCGGAACGCCACTATACAGACTAGCCTCGAGGTCAAACCGGTTGAAACTATCCTAAGATTCGGACATCTTCTTTGAATGGATCAAGAGAGAACAGCCAGGAAGACATATGAGATTTGTGTGAAGGGAAGGAGACATAGAGGAAGACCACGCATATCCTGAGAAGACTGTACAAGAGGCGCTCAGGAAGCGGGGTATGGATTGGAGTAAGCGAAGAGAGTTGACACAAGAAAGGGAAACATGGTCCAAGCTCTACAAGATATAGCCCACACTGCGCTGCAGTATTGGGATCAGGAATACGATGATGATGATTTCCTGGTTTAAATGTTCTCTTAAAATTGAAAACTTAATGTGCCACCTCCAAACATTCTGACACCATACAACTTGTAAGACCGCCTCGATCTCGTCTTGGTCTTGCGTTTGGACAACACTACTTCTGGCTTCTGCTGGATTTTAGATTATTTTAAATTTGGCCGAGGGTTTCTCCAGACATAGGGCACAAACTGTAGGAACATGTATAAGTTTGGTGCACTCCACAGATTGCTCACAGCATTTCACCCAACGTGGCAAGTGATGTCAATAAGTCTTCGTGTGGCCGTTTGCCTGGCAGTTGTGCCACCACACAATTTCCCTCTTGGGGTTTGGCTTTTCTACTTTCACGCTTGTGTAGCAAAATCTTGAAAATATCGAACCTTGTATAGGAGGCATTTTTGTTGGCTATGAAATTATGCCCAAGCATTTATGAAGATAAAAAAAAATATATAATAGTGTGCTTGAAGATCATGAAGTATATTTACAGAAGGAAAATGGCGAATTTGCTTCAATAGCAGTGGAAACAGGCTGAGGAAAAATATAGGAAGTAACAAAGAATGGGCATTAGAGTCTCGGATGAAAATAGAAGTTTGAGAGAGAAAATAACAGAATTGTTAAGAAATGGTAGGAATTAGTATAAGAAACAAAACACTTAATTTTTTTTTTCATCTCTGTACTTATTTTATTTAGAATAGTTTATAAATAAAAATAATTACTATTAAATAAGAATATTAGAGCTTAGAGGGGCAAAATATTTGTTATAAATCTATAATAATTATAAATATAGACTACATGACAGTTTACATTTGAAAATGTTATGACATATTAAAGCTTGTATTGTATTACATAGAAGACTTCTGAGTATAGAACTCAAAATATATATATGTTGAATAATATTTTTATTCTTGATAATAAATAACACTTACAAAATAGGGTAATAAAACAGTATAGTTATAAACAACTAAAAAAAATAATTAATTCTGTGTAATATAAATTCATATACATTACAATTAATCTGGAATAAGAGCTATAACAAAGATGTGAAAAATTGTCAAAATAAAAGTCTTTATTTTAATATCTTAAATTATGGAGCAGGTATCAGCATCAGGTATGGAGCAGGAAATCTAACAACAGTGTCATCCATTAACAACAAAGATCAAAATTGTAATAATAACCAGTTGAATGAGATATACGGTGGGCCAGACCCCCCTCCCACATCTCTATAAACTGCATATCGTTGTGTTCCTTGTAACTATTCATTAAAAAAAGGCCAATGTTCCTTAAAAAAAAAGTGAACACACTGACCTAAACATGGCGGATTGACGACTTTGACTTTAGTGAGTTTTTTTTTTATTGAGAATCAGCATTTGGCTTAATTTCGTCATAGTTGAACTTTTATTAAAGCTGAATAGTCAGAGAATAACAAAACATGAAAAAATATTTAAAAATAATTGGCTTAGACAATAAAAAAACCCAGTAAAGTCAACTTTTTAACAAAACAAATTTCAAATTGAAAATCAAGTGTCGTTTGTAATTAAACGGCCAACAATAACACAAAATGTGCTGAAATAAAACATCTGGAGAATATATTTTTCTTTCAAAAACACTGATTACTTTTTAAAATACTTGAATCTGTATAAAATCCACTTAAGCGGCAGAAAAGCGGTACTGGAGTAGGTGCCTTCAGGCCTCTGCCACACCATTGAGCGATATGGATTGAGAAAGTCAAGTTGCACTTTGGATTGTGCTAATATCTAATAGTCTTTGAGAAAAGCTCGTTTTCCTTTCAGATTCCTTAAAAAATCTTTTGCAAATGCACTAAACAGAAGGAGACCTATTTCCCTTTGTCGATAAACCTTTCTATAACCTGCTTTAAAGTGATGATAGTTCCAATGTGCAACTTCAGTAGCAATCGAAAATAAAGTGGTTCTCACCAAAATAAACCTTGTTTACTTAGTCCAGACCTGCTGACTTGCCAATTGCTTTAAAAAATCTTTCCTGTTGATAAAATGGTCTTCACCATAATAAACCTCCATCGTCCCCTTAATATCATCCAAACTGCTGCAGCATTTGATCTCCTTTTATTATCAGTATCTTGAAATACTCTGTTCATCTGTGTACTATATATTCTTTTAGCCATATAATGTATAATGATCCTTGTTTTCTTTATCGAGATATTCGCACTTCCTTTCTCGGTTGCTTAATGTATTTTTCCAATGTTTGGGTTCAATTTCGCGTTTTCCCTCATTTTGAGACCAAATACTAATAATCAATTCCGGTTACCTAGAAGAAATTATAGCTTCGCCCTTTCCATCTTTCTTTGTGCAGAGAGAATAATGCATTCAATATTAATGCATCAATATTGCCTATTTTTTTATGATATGGTCCAACTTTATGATATGGAACAAAATAGAAATTAATTTTTTTATTAGTGATATATGAGTTTTACTAAACAATCCATCAACTATTCATTATATGTAGTTCAGATTAGGTATATATTATTTTAGTTTATAAAACAGGTGTTAATATCACTCATTACCGGGGAAGTATATACAATTTAAATTACCTCTAAAGATCAATAAATATACAAAACAAAGTGTTAAATTTAAAAAAAAAATTGTTTAATTTTTTTGGAAAATTAAAGTATTACATTAATATTTGTTCGTTAATACAATTAATATAATGTACCAAAAACGTTATTATAACACTATAACTAAGCACGGACGGCTCTACGGGGGAGGGGAGCTTTGGGGCTGAAACCCCCCCAGAATGGTGAAATATAACCATGTTTCATGGCAAAAAAATATTAAAAAATTATCTCATAAAGTATTTTTGTTCGTGTAATTACATTTAAAAGGACTTTATAAATCACTTAAACACCATTTCATATAGGTAGTTAGTTTCTTTATTTTTTTCCAAAGTAATTATCGTTATTTTTATGAAAACAAAAGCTTTCAGGCTGAAGGTCCCCCCCCCAAAATTATATCCTGCTAGTGTAACTAAGCCATTTATGAGTACTGAATGGTGTGGCAGAGGCCTGAAGGCAACTACGCCAGTACCACTTTTCTGCCGCTTAAGTGGATTTTCTACGGATTCAAATATTTTAAAAAGTAATCAGTGTTTTTGAAAGAAAAATATATTCTCCAGATGTTTTATTTCAGCACATTTTGAGTTATTGTTAAACGTTTAATTACAAACGACTCTTGATTTTCAATTTGAAATTTGTTTTGTTAAAAAGTTGACTTTACTGGTGTTTTTTATTGGCTCAGCCAATTATTTTTTAAATATTTTTTCATGTTTTGTTATTCTCTGACTATTCAGCTTTAATAAAAGTTCAACTATGACGAAATTAAGCCAAATGCTGATTCTCAATAAAAAAAAATCTCACTAAAGTCAAAGTCGTCAATCCGCCATGTTTGGGGTAGTGTGTTCACTTTTTTTTGTGCGAACATTGGCTTTTTTTAAATGAATAGTTACAAGGAACACAATGATATGCAATTTATGGGGATGTGAGGGAGGGGGGGGAGGGTTGCACAGTAGGGGGTCTGACCCACAGACTAAGAGGTTAATCATCCAAGTATTGTTGCAAAATGCTTAAATCCTGTTCTATTTCAATATCTTCTATCTTCAACAGTTGTTCATCAGCTAAAAACAGAAAAGTCATTAAAAAAAAAAGTTTAATACTATGTATGTATGTCACAGGAAATCTCCAAATACATAATGATTTGATTCACAGGATTACTGCCAATGTACTTAAGTTTACATCATGAACCATAAATGTGCTAAGGGGTGCCTAGAGGTGGGTTTTATGGCGCAAGTTGCGCCATCAAAAAAATTTTTTGGGGGTGTTTATTGATCAAGTTTTCAATTTTAAGCGAAATTTTAAACCAGGAAATTAAGAAAAAAAAATGCACTCTACGGTTTAAGAGTATTAAAAAAAATTTGTAAAGCACTGCATACTTGGAAGAGCGGACTTTATTATAAGTACTAAACTCAAGTGGAGCATTGTCTTCCCTATTTCCAGTTTTAGCATTGACATCTAAGGGCGCCGCTTGTTTAGCATATTGGTATGCGACTTGTGAATTTAGTAATATTGAAGAACTTTGGATTATTTGAGGAGTATTTATTAACAATTATATTCATATTTATGACATATAAGCAACATTTAATAATATTTCTTTTTCAATAAAAAATTGAATGGATAAAGTGGGCAGTAGTTAAGATTAGGATGAGATATTCAAAGTGGCCTGGATCCCCATGGATAAGGTTAGGATGAGATATTTAAAATGGTCAAGACGCAGTGATTAAGGTTATGATGAAGTATTCAAAATGGTTAGATCTGGTCAAGGTAGGGATGACATATTAAAAATGGTTAGATGTGGTTAAGATAGGGATGACATGGTAAAAATGGTTAGAAATGGTTGAAGTTAGGCAGCGTAAAAATGGCAGTGTAGTATGGTCAAAATACAAATTAATATTTTCCACCTCTAAGTGGCCTGTGGCGGAAAATATTAATTTGTATTTTGACCATACTACACTGCCATTTTTACGCTTATGACGGTCGCTTTATGCTGTCTTAACCACATCTAACCATCTTGAATATAAAATATAAAATTTCCCTTCTATAGCTGAAAATACAAGCCTGACTTGGAGTTCTCTCGCTTGCTTGTAAATGGTGTATATAAGTATACCTGTTTTGTTTTTTGAATTTTACTTATCTTTATTTTATTTTACTTTAAGTTATTTTATTTTTTATTCACTGTATATACTTTTTGATTATTATTTAGTTGTTATTTTTCTTCTGTTTATTGTATATATGGTGTGAATGTGTTTATTATGTAAAGAAAGACCTATTGCTAACTGTGTATTCACGAACCGTAAGCAAAGAATGAATAGTATAAATATAATTCCAAATCTGAACTTGATTTGTATTTTAAACTCTTTTAATATAATATAAATAGAGATTATTGTTTAAAATACCTTTCTTTCTCTTAGGAAGCATTCCACTTTCCTTGTAGGCATTGATATCTTCAAGGAACTTTTTCTCAGCCATTTGAAAGCTTTTTTTCTTTAGTTGGTCCTTCTCTTCGTCAATGACCTTCAATCTTATTTTATAGTCTTCAGCTAGTTTCTCTAAGTCAAGAAAATACAAGTGACATACATCTGACTCTTAAATAAAATATTTAATAACAATATAAATATCACAAAAATGAATTATGATAATTAAGACAACAAATAAATAAAATCTTCTTTCTTTATCATAAAACAATATTAATATTCACTTATAAGTGCCAGATTTCCACATTAATCTACATAAAGAAAGATGGGTGAGCCTAGCTGAGTTCTAGGAGTTACGGGACTTTAGTCGTCAACTAAGCTTTACGGTATTAGATACTGTTTTCATCACAACTGTCTCTCGGTAATTATTTATATTTTAATTGTAAGTTATTTTTTATTGATAAATGAAAAATGGTGTAATGATGAAATAATATTTGCAATAATACTACCGCATGCAAAAACAAGCACAACATACATTGCTCAAAATGTAAAATCATTTTTCACGTCAGATGTTTCAACCTAACTGATAAAGCACTTAGAAAACATGGGTTTGCACTAATTGTGATCAGGTCAAAAAAACAAACGCCAAGCAGCCTGCCACAGAGACACTAGCGGTAGTAAATCGCCTTGACTATACTATGAAGGAGAATATAACATGTATATAAACAACCCTCAATATATGGGTAGATTAGTTTTGACCTTAAAGAAAGACTGACAAAGTTTGAAAAATATTTCGAAAGTCAAATTAAATATTTTGAAGAAAATATCTTGGAAGATAAAGCCCTTAAAATCCCTTATGGGTGAGTTAGAAGTTCTTCTGAATAATGCAGAACTATGCCTGCTACGTATCACTGGAGATCAGCGAGATACTGGAACGAGGCTGGCGAGTCGCCTGCTCCTCTGCTTACGCACAGTATAGGAGTGAGTTTGGGTATCAGGGCTTAATGCACAAGACTTGGACATGGTGCATCGCCACAGAAGCAGGAAGATGTCCCGCGACTACCGCCTTGGAACTCGATGTATTTGCCTGACTACTTAGAATTCGTCAATCCTTCATCCTCATTAAAATAACAATTGGCTTCAAAGAAATATTCTATTCTTAGATTGCTCAGACCATCCACAAGTTGAAAACTTTCTAGTAGAAATTCTTTGTAATACTTTTCCTCTCATTTATTCCGTGGTATACCGTCCTACTCTTGTTCCATTTGACCCGTCCATAGAATCAACCCTACTCAACTTCGTTCTCCTCTATCCCAGGATAAACATATCCGGCGACCGCATTACCATATTTCCTCTCTCCAATTACAAATCCTATCTTGAAAACCTATTTTTTTCTCTCAATCTCATTATAGTTACTTTTTCCCCAACTCGCAACACCTCTAGATCCGATATTTAGTTGGATCTATATATCATTGATTCTGCTAAAAACCTCCATTCCTCGTTTCTGTTAGCACTCTCATTTTCATCTTCTCATGACCTAAACAAAATATCTAATAATGTCAAAACCCCTCTGATCACTTAGGCCAGAAAAAAACCCTATCGATGTTGAACCACTTGACTGGAATAGGATAAATTCTTGTTCCTCTATTGGCACTATGGTTGACATTCTCACTTCCAAACTCCTCTGTATAATTGATATCTATGCCCACTTTAAAACTACTACCTTTCATCGTCGGTCTGCACCTTGGATGTCCTAGGAAATTAAAGATTTGCAAAGAAGGCGTGGTGCTGCCCGCAGATGCTTTAGGGATGCTGGACGTGCTAGCGACTATCAAGCGTTTTAACAACAAGGATTAGGCAAGCTAAAACTACCTACTTCCATGAAGCCCTCTCATCAGCTCGTGATTCCAAATCTAAATTATTAATCCTTCGCAAACTGTCTCTCTATGAACCTTTCAGATCCCCTCCCTCACAAGTCTTTACCGTTTCATCTGACAATTAAAATTCACATTTTATATCTGCTTCTTCTACCTCTTCTCTAACCTCCTCTTCCAACTTTGTTCCTGAGTCATCATTCTATGATGATGACTTTTATGGATTTTAGGATAATGCCTTAGGGAGTCTATAACAGTATTTGGTATTTTGTGAACTAAAGATAAGTAAGAAGGATATATGATCCTACGTCACACGCTTCAGCAAACCTGGAAAGATGCTCTCATTGTTGGTCAGGGAGTCCGTCCAAGGAATAACCACCGACCATCCCCAAATAAGCCAACCGTGGGACTCACAACACATACTTTTATAACTTATCAGCTTATATAAACTATAGTCCAACATTTGGAATTTTATATTCATAAAATATGTAACACATAACTTACCTTTCAGAGCATCCACAGACAGAAGTTTGTTTTCATGATGACATAATAATTTGTCTTTTGCATTTGACATAGCATTTGTTAGCCTATTTTCTTCTATTAAATCTTCCACTTCAACAATTAGATAGAATACTTCATCTATTAATGTTCTGATATTACCTAGAACACACGGAGTAAAATAATACATAACTCGATAAGGAGGTACTGATTCTTGAAACAGGAATATATGAAAGTGAATTACCTTCCACGCTTAACCACTAGTGGATCCAGCCGGTGGGTGCCCCCCTCCCCTGGAAGTTGGAAAAAATCCAAAAAGTTCCAAAAAGCATATATTTAAAGAAAAGAGAAAAACAGGGAAAATACATCCTCACAGACAAATTTCCAAACGTAATATAAAAAAAAATTATTTTTGTGACCTGCTCTAGCAAATTCTGCCAAGGGGCACGCCCTCCCTTGGATAATAGGAAAAAAAGTTTCAAAAACACCTATTTAAAGAAAAGAGAAATACAGGAAAAATTCATCCATTAAGACAAATTTTCTAATGTGATATAAAAAAAAAATCTGGTGCGCGCAACAGACAACTTTTACTTACCGGTCTATTTTGAATAGAAATTATTTTCTGGCAATGTTGGGCTATTATAAAATTTTTGCAGCGTATTTCAAACATAACTAAAGCTTAAAATAACAAATCATTAAGACCATTACAATTACAAATCTCTATTTATTATATCGATGGTAGGCAATAAAAATCTAGTTCCTCCAACTGCTTTTATAAACCACACTTCAGCTTATATCTTTATAGGCAATAAAAATCTAGTTCCTCCAACTGCTTTTATAAACCACACTTCAGCTTATATCTTTATAACACTGTGAATAAAGATATAAAAAGATATAAAAACATCACTAAAATTAATAATAAAGAATGTTGAAATTGGAGTCAGTCATTCTGTCAACCGAAAGGCTCATATATGCCTAGAGAGATTTGAAAGTACGTCAGAATATTTAACTATAAATGATTATCGATTTTAGGACTATTAGTTATTAAACTGTTACTTTCTATTGTAAAGTTTACTAAAATGATATTACGAGATTTTCATAGACTACCATGATTAGCTCAAAAGTTGCCACTAATTGTAAGTGGATAATGTTGGGATTTCACGAATGGCAAATTCATCAAATTATTCACTAATTTAATTTTCTAAAATGTTACTTGATGATTTTTTGGATTAAACGACCAATAGATACCTGATTAATTAAATATAATATCATCTCTAGAGATATTAAATATCAGAAAATATATTCAAGGTTATAAACATATCCATGAAATATTTTTATGTTACATTTCTTCTTTCACACAAGTACAATGAAATAATATTTTAAACAATGGCATTGGCTTGGTTCAGTGGATTTTAAATAATTTTTTGCTATACTTAAAAATAAACGGACAATTGATATCTAAATATTTAAATATAATATCAGATCTATAATGATTAAACTACAGTAAATATATTTAACGTTATAAACATATCTATAAAATATTTTTATATTTCACTTCTTCCTTCACACAACTACAATGAAATAGTAGTGGATACTGTTGGAATATCACAAAGGGAAAATTCATCAAATTATTCACTAATTTAATTTTCTAAAAAGTTACATGACAATTTTTCGGAATAAACGTTGATACCTAATTATTTAAATATAATATCAGATCTATAATCACTAAACTACAGTAAATGTATTAGGTTATGAACATATGCATACATCCATGAAACGATTTTATATTTTACTTCTTATTTCACACAAGTACTATGAAATAGTTTTTTTAACAATGCCATTGCCTTGATTAGGTGGATTTTAAATACTTTCTACAAACGTAAAAATATTTTTTAAAGTTTACATGTAGTTAGTAAATTTCGTTTAATTTCCTTGAGTACTCCAATTTGGAAACAGCCGCGGTGATTCGAGGAGCCCAGAAGCGGATCTCTACCGAGAGCCAAGTCATCGGGAAGATCCGCTTTGGCAACTAGAAACCACGTGATAACACTATACAGAGCAGATCTGCACTAAATCAATGTACGACCAATGTTCAGTTGTGCCATCACCTGACACACACTTCCTGTGACATGAGTGTATGTGGCTAAAGTACTCTTGCTCAATCTCCACTGGGTTTAGCCCCAGTGATGCGGTTGAGAGAGAAGTGCAGAGATCTTCTGGAGTCTTGCTTTTCCCTCCACAGTTGGAGGGACAAGTTTGGCTCGGAGTTCTCTCGCCTGATTGTAAATAGTGTATATAGGTATGTTTGTGTTCTTTTTATTTATTTATTACAAAACAATATAAAAATTTGGATTTTATTCATTAGCACAGACTTGCAGCGCACTCAGGCAATTATGACAACCTCTCTTTAGAAAAAAAATAAACGATACATGATTATTTGGTTCGTCATATGTAATTGTATTTGTGTTAAACATCAATTAGCCGTAGGATGTGAGACACTAGTGGATCCAGCTGGGGAGCGCCCCCCCCCCCCATGAAAGCTGAAAATTTTTTTTTAAAAAAGTTCAAAAATTGAGCTATTTAAAGAAAAGAGAAATATAGGGAAAATTCATTATCTACTAATTAAAACTGAAAATTATTTTTTACGCTTAGAACACTTTTTATTTTAATAATATTTTAACTTTCTTATATTAATCTGGTGGTTGTGATTTTGGAAAAGTTCCTAAACTCTCAACGATAAGCTTATTGATGACATCCCAATAATTCATCCAGCGTAAAGATGGATCCGGTGTTATCGATGACCTCAGCGCTGAGCTTAAGATTTTTTCCTTTTTAAAAAAAAATTGTTATAAATGTTTTGCCATATTTCTTTATCAAGTGTTGTTCTTAGTTTGAAATTACGCTGCTTGGTCATTATAAGTCTTTTAACTGTAGTTCAAAAATGTTTTCAACTGTTTGCATTTTTCAATTTTTATAGAACATTAATGTTTTTATAATTAAACACTTTTATAGAAAAATTTTTATAATTGTGGATTAATGGTTGACTGCAGTGAATAATTAAAGAGAACAATGTTTTTTTTTTTTTTTTTTTTTTTTTTTAATGATCACCCCAACCATTCTTCCCTTCAATAATAGTATTTAATTTTATTTATGCACTTAAATTGATTTATGTGAATATGTTCAATCACAAAAATTATTTTCTGTCTGCAAGACACTAATATTGATTGATACATCTAAAAACATAAATTTTGCCTACAAATATGCTTAAGTTAATTTAGTAATGTAGTAACTATAATGAAAGATTTTATTTATTCCTAGCGTTCATTAATAACGGGAGTTAAAAATTACATCCCTAAACATAAAAGTTGAAACATGTATTATAATAAACACTGTTGGGTTATTGTCATGATGAACTGATAGGTTAGTTGAAAAACAGAAAGAGCTTCTGTTTCGTTTAGAAAAAACGAAACGAAAAACAGATTAAACAGCAACTCGACTAGTGGCAAACGAGTGAACTAAAAAAAAAAAAAACAACTGTTGTTATCCGTTTGGAAGAACAGTTCATTCGTTTGAGATCAAAAACTGTTCTTTTCAAACGTTTGGCGTTTTCTCTCCCACCCTTACTCATAGGATGAAGTGAGTTATTTGGGCTGCCGTGAGATAAGAAGCCTTGTGCTCCAAGTTTGTAGTTTGTTCCTGCTGACTCTGAACTGAGTCTTGCAGGTGAAATACATGATGGAGAAAATTAATTTAAAAAAAATTATCTTTATCTATTCTTTCGAACAACCTTTTATTCGAGCACAAGAAAATAATTTTTTTTCGGACCCAGTTTTTATTCAGTTTCCATAGATCTGGACGCATTGAAACCTCCAGCAACTACAGTCTCTTTTAAGAATCCATGCAATTCATTAAACTGGTCACTATAATAATTTGTAGATTTCTCATTAGCAAGTGTTGTCCTTTCTTTGCGTTGCTGTTGGGAACTTTTTCATGAGGAAAGGTATTTATTATTTGGTCTCCGGTATGGTCGGAATCGGTATTTATTCTTCGTGTTTTTTTTTTTATTAGGCCCCTTCACACTAAAGATGCGAGATGCAAGATGCATGCGTCCCGGATACAGGAAGCATGTGTGTCTTGCATCTCGATAAAAGAGCTTCCACACCAAGGATGCACGTGCCTCTTACATCTTCTATCATATCCATTATCTCTGTTAGTTTAGTACGTGAGTTTGAAAGACAAATAATCAATCATCCGATTCATCAGGCGACGAAATTATAATTCTGGCTTTTACAATAAGAAGAAGACGAAGACAAACAAGAAATCGTTTTGGGGAGCATCCATACTGAAATAATGCTGGAGATTATAGCCCTGTTATGGTGTCTCAGCAATTACTGAACCATCCAGTAAAGTTTTAGGAGTACTATAAAAAGGAGATTAGGACTTTTAACATGTTGTTGGATCTCGTCGAACCGTCACCGAGTCGCACAGGCGGATCTAAGGGGGGGGGGGCTTTCGGGCTGAAGCCCCCCCCAAATGGTAAAATATAACCATGTTTTACAGAAAAAAATATTAAAAACTACCTCTTAAAGTATTCTTGTTCGTTTAGTTACATTTAATAGGACTTCAGGAACCACTTAAACACCATTTCATATAGGTAGGTAATTTCTTTCTTTTTTTTTTTCAAATTAATTATCGTTATATGTATATGACGAAAAAAAATCGCTGAAGCCCCCCCCAAAATTAAATCCTGGATCCGCTAGTGCCGAGTCGTCGGGATACAAATCGTCGGTTGTGTATCTGCGAAAGAAAGATTACTCATATTTCTGAGGTAAATCACTGTATTTTCCTATGAATTGTATAACTTATTTTTTAAACGTTAATGTAGCTCAAAACTGAAAACATTACTTAAGTATACTTTGTACAGCGTTGTTTATTAAGAGTATCAATACATCTTGAAGAGGGGGAGGGGGAGGGAGAATAAATGCTACCTTATAATTGCAAAAATCTAACCTCACACCTTGTGTCTTTAACGTGCAGGTAAAGAATAAAATAAGCCGCTAACAATTCACCAATTCAGGGATCAACAGTCGTAAACCAACGACTTCCTGTCCTACAGTTTCCTTTAACAATACTCCACTTATCTCTGTTGAGCAAATCCGATACCTAGGACTCCACCTGGACAAACGACTAACTTGGAATCCTCATACTAGACTGAAACGACAAGAAACCGCTCGACGTTTCCGATTACTTCAGCACTTACTAGACAAACGCTCTAAACTTCCCATTAATTACAAAAGACTCATATACTTGACTATAATAAGACCTATTTGGACTTACGGAGTTGAGCTATGGGGCTCCACTAAACCATCGAATTCCTCTCGCATCCAATCCTTACAATCCAAAATCCTTCGTAAAATCCTCAATGCTCCTTACTTTGTCACTAATAAAATTATCCATAAAGATCTTAATGTTCCTTATGTTTCAGATCTGGCCCAATCCAGATACCTATCCTTCCATAATAAACTTCAGAATCATCCCAACCCTCTCGTTTCTAACCTTGCTTCCTCTTCAATTCCTGATAACCCTCCGAAAAGAAGATGGCCCCATGATCTCCTAATGTAGTCATATCATTAGAGTGCTACCATTGGGTAGTTACTCGGCAAGTGTATTCATGTCATTATATCAATTATGTCCAAATTTACTTGATGTATTTATGTAATACAGTTGTAAATGTCATAAAGAAATAAAAAAAAAAAAAAAAGGGATCAACAGGTCAGAAAAGAAAAGAAACCCTAGGTCACACCACTGACATTCACTTGTCATTTCAATAGAAAATGATTACTCACGATTTATTGCAATTTTGGAATAAAATTTTAAATATTCCATGGTGATATTAGAAAAATAGATAAAACATATGGAGAAATAGTTGAAAATCAGAGCAATTGATAAAAAAATTAAACAATAGATAAAAAAGAAAACAATTGTTGCAAATAAAAAAGCAATTGATAGAGACGTCAATCACAAGAGCATAGAAAAAATTGAGAAAGGAGAGGGTATACCGAGCGTTGGCGTTTTAAGCCGATTTGGCCGGGACCCGATGATTGATCCTCAAAAATATTTTGCTTTGGCTTTGGCCCAAGGTGGAAGGGGCGAGTATGCAAGACCAGCCCAACAAAGATGCACGCTAAAAATCTCCAACCCGCTGGTTCCCAAGATGCACTTGCATCCTCGGTGTGAAAACTCTCTTTCTATTACACAGTCCAGTGTTTAAGATGCATGCATCCTGCGTCTTGCATCTTCAGTGTGAAAGGGGTCTTAGAGAACTCATTTCCAAGCTGCAGTTCCATTTATAGTAATCTGTCTCAGATTTTGATAAAGTTGGTAAAAATTGGCGTTCATTGACCGTGGTTATCGACCAAATCACTTAATCAAATTATTAAGTTTAGTTACTCGTTCGACGCACAATTTAACGTTTATAACTTCTTAAAGAATACGTTGTTTGCTTTGATGCACTATTTAGTAGTAATAGACGAAAAAAAAGATCAGATAAATCTGGCTTTTTTGGCTATAAAAAGTTTTTTTTTTGGTGACCCATTTAGCAATTTTGTTATTTACATGTCTAAACTCATACACAGGGTGTCCCGTAAGTGGAGGGAAATATTTAAAGCAGTGATAGCAAAACTCAAGAACTTCAAAAAATTATATTAAAAATGGTTCTATTTTCAGCAGAAAAGTGGGTAATTAAAGTTTTGTGATTTTTTAAGTAAGTCATGTTTTTTGTAGAATAGAAAGTGATAACTGAAAATCTATTTAATTTAAGTAAATAACGATTGCTTCACTATAAATTATGCAAAGTTTACTTAAATAAAAATAGAGTTTGCTTCTGTTAAAACTATTTGCTTCACTATAAACTACACAAAATTCACTTTAAATAAAAATAGAGTTTGCTTTTGTTAAAACCATTTAAAGAGGACTTTTGAGCTGCTAAACTCGGCTAAGGAGTGGGGGGAGATGGGTAGTGGTGGGGGGACGGATAAGGGTGGGGGAAGCACCTGGTACAGAGGTGCGGCATACCCTGAGAAAATTCTTGGATCCGCCACTGTTCGGCACTGTCTGTTCAAAAATAGATACCTACCATGGCAACGTCACGGCTCAGATTTTTAATTTATTCATCATTTCCAGTTTAACATTGTCTAATATACGTACTAATAATAATGAACGACATCGCACGGCTGCTCGACTGTGTTGAGTTGCTATATAACACAGCATACTCATCAATCAATAGATAATACCACTAGCGGATCCAGGATTTAATTTTGGGGGAGGAGGGCTTCAGCCCGAAAGCTTTTTTTTCATATATATAACGATAATTAATTTGAAAAAAAAAAAGAAAGAAACTATCTACCTATATGACATGGTGTTTCATTATATGGTATAATTTACATATAACTTAAAGTGATATGCAGAATCCAAATAATATTTAATCATATTATACAATAAAGGAGATGAATAGCTAGATAAAAAAATATATTTTATCTTTATTTTTAAATTGAAAATATATAATAAATAAAATTAACAGTGTTATTTTAATGTTATTTATAATATTTTTAATTTTCATAATTTGCGTACTATTGACCATTAAAAGTCACAAATTATTTCCCCTATTATGAAAGTGTATTTGACATTTAAATGACAATAATAATTATTAGTTGCTAGCAATAAAATGAAAATACCTATCATTGTAATTTTCTACTGTATTTTGAATTACTTATCGAATAAATGATATTGTAATTAATACTTATTAACTACAAAACTATTTTAAAGGAATTAACTATTATTTTTTATCTATATTGGATGCATATAATACAATTAAATGGATGATAAACATTAAAAGATAAGTGAAAGCCGTCCATAGGTTATATTTTTGAGCTGAACAGGAGAGCCATCTTATCTTAGTGACGGATCCAATGTAACCACGGCCTAAGACTGCCTCAAGGAAAAAACAATTTTTATTTACTTGTTCCACTTAGATTACTGTCTCTTATTAATAAAATATAATATTTGTAATCTCTAACTAACGCTTATTCTTTTTAGATGTCAATATAATTTAGTGAGGCTAAATTGGATCTGAAAGTAATTGGTTGAACCTTTGTGACTTGAGCTATATCAGATATTATAAATATAATCTTTAAAATTAATGAAAAAAAAATATGTATTTTTTTCATCAGAGAATATGAAGAAGTGTCGATGGTGTTTAAAATTTCATTATCGATGGTAATAAAAATAAAATAAAATGTTTATTATTCCTTAAGAACTATTGTAAAATGAATATTTAAAATTAATAAACGAAACATTTTTACACTAAATTTTTTTAGTGATTACAAATAAATAAATTATAATTATATTTTGTTTTATTGTTTTTAAAATGAAAAAAAAAATAAAGTAATGATTATATGCAATAATATAGACAGCAGTTATAAATAGGTATCTAAAATTATGCGTTTTTTTATCATTTCCGAAGTTAATTTATTGCCAAATTTAAAAATGTCCAGGTTATACTGGAATTTTTAAAGATTTTCTGATTTTGACATCATATTCGTGTTTCTTGGCTATGAAAACATAAGGGTACTAAAGATCTAGTTAATCCGACATCATTTATAAGTTCTAGGCCCATGTCTACGAAAACCCGCCTTTCGTCCCACTATACGCCCCTCGGTTCTTCTAGCTTAAAAAATACGCAAGACCGATTTTGTATATGCATTCACAAGGGATATTCAAGAAGACAGAGGATGAAATGTAGGTAACACTCCAGGGAGGAACTTTTTTTACTTGCCTATTAGTGTTTTCTCCAATTTCAAGATTTTAAATGATATTTCTGCCATTTTTCCTAATATGCACTATTTTCGCGCAATATATTTTTATTCTTATTTTGATGTTGTTTATTGATAAATATTACATTCTGTCTTAATTAATGCCAGCGCAATAACTTAACAATCTATTTCAAATCAATCTCCAGAATAATTTCCTGCAGTACAGGGAATCAGATAATAATCTGTGTTCTTATTTATATCCTGAGCTAGAGTCTTCAAATCCAGAAAATATTACCATTAAATTCAACATAATTATGCAATAAGGATATTTTGCATCAGCTGTATAGATTTAATAGATAAATATTTAGCTTATGAATAGTAAAATGTATAGATTTACCAATTTCATTTAGGGCTTTTTCTGTATGTGTTAAAATAGCGTTTAAATTTTTGACATCACTGGAAAACCTCTTAACTGCATGCCAATGAAGCTTAAAGCACCTATTAACTTCTTCTATCTGAAAGTCAATTGCCTATAACAAATAAAGACATCTGTTTTTTTTCTCTATCTAAATACATTTTTATCAAAAAATAAAAACATAATTTAATAACACTGTTGAGATAATGCATTTTATCTGGTAACCCTGCCCAGCTGTTGTAAACAAAATCAGGTTGGCTTAGGTGAGGTTACTCATAGCAGTCCTTTGTTCATTATTGTGTGATGTTTATGTAGGAGAATAGAGGTGAGAGCGTTAAGGCTAGTTTTGAGATGAAAGTATTGATGAAAAGAAACTGGAGGATGAATTCGATACATCCATAATCTATCAGGACAATTGAATAGAAATAGAAACTAAATTTGATACTTTGGTTGGTCATTCAAATAAAACTTGGCACGTGATGATATTTCTTCAACTACCAGTTTTTCAAGAGAGAAATTACAATTACAGAAAAAAGGGAAAGAAATATTTTCATATAACCTTTTTGGGGATGTGAAAACAAACCAATTTGTGCACGATGTCAAATTTTAAAGGGAAATTTTCTTGTGAAGTGCAAATGTTGGACAACATTAAAATTTGTAGGGATGTTCCTAGTTCAAATGATGAAGAATGCCTAGAGATATTAAAAAGAAAGAATATACCATAGAGCGATGGCGATGGTGGGAGAGAGAGAGAGAGGCAAGAAGTAGAGTTGTTGCTCGAAGCAGAAACTAAGGCACAGGACAATCACATGCTTGTGAACCTTTTAATGGAGGGACACCTATGAGCATCAAACAGGTAGCATCCCTCTCGTAGAAGAGGGAGATCTTTCCAGAACTCTGCCTCTAGTACAAGTGAGTCTCACCATCCAGGTCAAGCTGAGATATCTTCGACCTATTATGCCACAACTGCAGCTCGAAACAGTCTTTCCAGGAACATTTGAAGAGATAATATTAGGTTTGTGGTCAGCCGAAGATTCCCATGAAAATCAGACAAGTAACAACTGGTGGTAGGAATAATTCTTCAATGTCAGCCACAGAAGTTGGATTAAAAAATTGGAAGAGGAGAAAAAAAGAAAAAAAAGGTTGCAGCTAAGAAGAGTAGTATATTTCCAAATGTTACCAGACAGTCATCGCACCAACATAAAAATGAAACAAAACACATTTATTAAAGTAGTGTTTATTAAGTGTTATTAAATTACTACAATGATTTTACCAATAAAAGTTGTGCATTGCCAATTATAAATTTTATTGTTGTTATTGTTGTAAATCTGTTTACAATTGTATAGGTGGGAGTATGTTGAGTTAATGCATTTTATCTGGTAACCCTACCCAGTACTTGTAAACAAAGCAGGTTGGCTTGGTTGTGGTTACCCAGAGTTGTCATTTGTTCATTATTGAGTGATGTTTATGTAGAGGAATAAAAATGTTTTGTGTGTTTGTGGTGAAAATGTTTTAACAAAGCCTCATTTGTTCCTGAAGTGATTTCCTAATATTAAAAATGCAATGTGAATATCTTTTCATCCATATTTAAGTAAAAAAGTAATAATAATGTATGTAAAAAAATATATATATACCCAAATAAATAAACATAAAAATAGATCGGATTTAAGAAAACTTAATTTAATTGATTAACAAACCAATGTGTATAGCACAACTTCACAATCTCTTGAAATGAATGATGAAATACATAATAAGAAACATTACACTTGTTATTGCAAATCTTATAAAAAAATAACATGATATTAAGATAAGATACTGTTAAGATCGGCAATTTCCTGTTATTGTTGTTAAAAGTTATAATAAAAAAATATTGTATTGATAGTATAAAAATATAAATAACAAAAATATTCTAATTTCTATTCTGAAGATGGGATAAGAAAGTGGATCCCGAAACGTCATAAAAATAAAGAAAAATTGTTGGGAGAGTAAATACTGCTATTAAATCTTACTTATATACCAGAGATAAAAAGTATCTCTCTTAGGACTTATGACGAGATTATTACTATATTTGTGAAGGCAGTGGATTAGCTGATGCGTAGTTTTGGTTTTGTTTGTTTGAAGTAACTGACCATTTTACATTGTAACTAGTTATAAGAAATGGTTAAATAAAAACTATGAAAGAATAATAATGTTATTATTATTTTAAATTAACTTATTATATTTTATTAATTAACTAAATGAGGAATAAGGGATGGTTAGATTTGACCTGGGGTTGACTAAGACAACCGAGCCCAGTTGAACTTGACCTCATAGGTGGTCACTATAGTTTTGTAACGTAATACGTGGGTAATATATCATAGATGAGGGATGTCCATCCTTCGATAATACTGCATACCTATATATGTATACATTTATATATATATATATAGGTATATATTTATATTTTTCGGTTGGTTGGCTCTAGAGCCATGGTTTTAAAATAAAATAAATGATACGAAACTATTTTTGGGTCTAATGCTGAATATGGGGGCCAATGATTAACCTAATCAATTTTAACATTAATCGGAAAATCATATATTTACAATATTTACATTGGATGCATGAATTCTGTTTTGTCTTTCGAAATCCTCTCAAAAAGATCCCCGTTATTAAAAAGAGGACGTCCGTTTAAGATTTCCTAAACAGCGTGACCTACGCCCCCAAAGTGTTAAAATAACGAGGTTATATAGTCCAAACGGCCCAATATTTTTGAAGACCAACTTTTTTTTTTCTCGATTTTGCGATTACATTATCTTACGATTAAAGTAGAAAACAAATGATTGACCATGAGCTTTTAGTACCTTATTAAATAGACAAAGTATGCCGATCTTCAGATTGAACACGCACCAATTCCGAGATATTTGTACAGTTGAATAAAATATTTGTAGGTTGCAATGAGATGAAGCTATTCACAAAGTTTTAGGCAGATCTTAATAATTTGATAAAAAGAGTCACTATATAAATAGATAATATTCTGTCTTATTATTTATTTTTTAAATTAGCAGCTGCTAGCTAGAGGAAAGATTAACCATTATATTGAGGAAAGATTGACCATTATATATGATTTTCTTTTGGCATTTAGGACCTTGTAGATCTTATGTCGCCTTAGCTAATCTTCTTAATATCTGCCTATCTTAAACTATCTCTTCCCAGTTATCTGCATGCTTGCATCTGGGATAATAGTACTAACGCATGGAAAATGGCCAATAAAAGCATAAAGGCGAGCAGGTTAACATGGGCGAAATATTCAATTCGGAGCAATCCATTTATATAACAATGGATACTTCAGTAGTACGCAAGAAACTATTTGTATTAATATATTTAAAGTATACAGTTAAGGTTATGATACGTAAATATATAATTCTTTTGATTGCTCGATCATTACGATAACAACTTCTCCAGAGCTTATTCTAGGTCACCTTGGGCTATTGCCTAATTATCTGTACCACAGCCTATGAGTACATACCATCCCTACATAGTAACCCTCGTGGTTTGCCAGCCAAACAAAGAACTCGTCGCTGCCTATAAGAAACACCTCCAATAACCACAGTGAACACTTCAGATACAGAACCTCAGCCCCAACCAGGTACATCTTAGCATGAAATGGTTGAAAAATCCCCTTTATTTTCTCCAAACCCGTTCGAAGTGCTTCGAAATGACAGAGAAGTACTGGAGTCTGCAGCAATAACCAGGGAACCAAGGTCTCCTCCGATATTTGTAAAAAATATCAAAAATTTCCAGTTATTGTGTACATAACTAAACGAAATCTGCTCCAGCAGTTAATCTTGCCTTAACAGGGCCAACGATACAAAAATAACATCAGATACTGCTGAAACCTACCAGAAAATAGTGAAGTACCTGTCAGAAATGAATGCAAATTTTCATATACGTACCAGCTGAGGCAGGAGAGATCATTACAAGTGGTGATAAGAAATTTGCACTCCTCAACCCCAACTGAAGTGATAAAAGAAGAACTAACGACGCTTGGTTTCAAAGTATCTCTATATTTTTTAATATTTTGAAGGAAAATAAAGAGCAGCCAGGAGTAAAAAACAAAGTTCCACTACCTTTATTTTTCGTTGACCTAGAGCCATTATCTGGTATCGAGGAAATTTATGAAATCAAGAGATTGTACTACACTATCGTGAAGATAGAGAAGCCGTACCCCAAGAGGGAAGTAGTGCAATGCCACATTTGCCAGGTGTACGGCCACACAAAGACTTATTGCCACCACTTACCGCGTTGCGTGAAATGTGGTGAACAACACAAATTAGCAGATTGTACCAAACTGATACAAGATCCTGCAGTTTATGCTCTATGCCTAGAGAGACACCCGGCCAACTACAAAGGCTGCCAAACTTATAAGAACCTGAAATCCAGATTCCAGAAGACCCAGCTTTAAGATGAGACGACCAGTCCAAGAAGAGAACCTTCTAGAATAGTGAATAATAATATATCATTCTCTGAACTACTAGGAGGTAAGAACCCAACTAAGAAATGTGAAGCACGGCCACAGCAACTACCTCAACCCCAACCCCAATATCCTGTTCATCTTAACATATCTAACCATCAACAACCTCAAATTCCTCCTCACTCAAATGCCACAGATCTCACCAGTTTGTTGTCATCATCTCTCATTGAATTCAAATCAATGGTTACCCCACTCATATCACTCTTTACAAATCTGGTATCTCACCTCATCTCTCCTGTAAAAAATCTTTAAATGACTACCATCAAACACATATCTACTCTCCTTTGGAATGCGAATGGTGTTAGAAATCACGTCGACGAACTAACAGCTTTACTACTAGACAAGCACGAATGGTATCCAAGAACCACAAATTAAGGTGGCAGAACATCGCTGTCTGCACTCAATTCCCAACGTTTCAGCGTCCTTCCACCCAACTCACTTACCTACTGGCCCACTGATCCTAACCGCAATCCTGACATCCTTGATGTTTTCCTCCACAGTGGTTTAGGTCCCCTCAATCATTCTCTTACCAGTCTTGACAAACTTTCCTCAGATCATAGTCCATTAATACTTCAATTTTCAACAGATCCTATTCTTAAACCCCC